TCAACGCCGAGAGAATTTTCAGGCTGGGAGGCGAAAGGGTATTATGAAAAGGGAAATGGAATGAACGATACTTGCTACACCTTTTCACTTACATCCGGATCCATCCATCCACCGTTCCGGCAAAGCAGAGTCGGCTATCTTCTACGCCCATCTCCCGAAATCCCTTTCCTCGGATCCAATTCCTCTGCTCCTTTCGATTGCGCAAACTTGGACAGCCGCCAGGCGAGCGACGAAGGGGAGACAGAAGGGGAAAACAGAATCGACAATTGAGATCTAAAGTTTAAATGAATTAACGGTGATCCGTGCATGTGGGCTGTAGGAAACGTACGGTAAACTGGCCCGCAGCCTACTGGACCCCTTATACCAATTAGGCGCTATTTATTATCTAATATATATACGCACCTGACGATCAAGTTTTGCCGGCGGTTCTGTAATCGAAGCTACCAGGCGGGCGATCTCCTCTTCTCTAACCCGACGCAGCGACTTGACGCGCTTGGCGCTGAGCAGCTCGACGGCGCAGATCTTCCGCATCTGCTTCCAGTAGTCGCCGTAGGCCACGTAGCCGATGTCCCGGGAGTTGTAGAAGATGATGTCGGCGGACGGGAGGAAGGGCCTGGAGGCGAAGTTGAGGTCATGGGCCTTGAGGAACTCGTGGGCCAGTTCCGGCGAGGACACCACGACGTTGGATTGGATATCTCCCCGAGCTGCAGATGCATGAGCGGGCCGTGCTGCTGGGCCAGCTCCCTCAGCCGGCGGTGCGGCAGTCCAGTGTTGAGCTGGTGCAAGTTGCCGATTACGGGCAGCTTCCACGGTCCCGGAGGCAGACTTGGTGCCTCCGCCTCGCCGAAGCTGAACCTTAATTTTATGAACACAACCATAGCTGCTGCGATCAGGATGAAGAAGAAGATGGTGATAAGTAGCTGCCCACCAGATAATATTTCATGGTCCATTCTTGTTTTTGGGGTTTGCTGGTGTTTTTTGGGTCCTTCGGCTACTTTCAAGTTTCAACTCTCGCCATACATTGCAGTCTATATATAGAAACACACAGATGGAAACGATGCTTAGTAGAGTGACAAAGTTTCTTTATGTCATATTAATTTGATGGGTTTGATACATTTTTTTTTGATGAATGATGAGAATATTATAAGAAACTAACCAATTCATGAAAGTACAAAGGTAAAAAATAAAAAGTCAGCAGCTCAACCAGTAGTAGAGCAAGCAAGCAATGAAGGGGAAAAAAAATAAAATAATAATAATAATAATAATAATAATAATAATAAAAAAAAAAAACAATAGAAAAACAACCAACTCGAGAATAAAAAAGAAGAAAGAACGTGAGGGTCAAATGAGGTGCTTCGTCCCGATCACCATCCACTGGTGGAAGCGTCTATCTGAGATGCGACTAAAAGCTCGTAACCATCGTCCAACTATAAGAACAATCTTATGTCCAATCTCTTTTGGGGAGGACTCCACATCCCTGAAAATCCTATTATTTCTCTCCAACCAGATGTACCAACACACTGCATGGGGCAATAACTTGATGCAGTCTCTGAACCGTGGGTCACACCACAAGCCTCGCCAACCAATGAGGAATTGGCGAATGAAAGGAAGGTAAGGACCATGAAGATCAAAAGCTTTTTTGAAATTATCCCAAATGGCAATTGCAAATGGACATGAGAAAAAGAGATGTGAAATCGATTCCTCATGTTGTTTGCAAAGAGAGCACCAATTCGGAAGAATCATCCCTCTTTTTCTCAAGTTATCCACAGTAGCAATCTTCTCATGAGAGACCATCCAAAGGAAGCAGCATATTTTTGAGGGCACACAAGGATTCCATACCAACTTGAAAGGGAAAGCAGTGTCACCTCCAAAGTTACTCTCAATAAGGTTTGTAGCGAAAGAATGAACCGAGAAGACCATAGATGCCTCTAAAGGCCAAACCAAACGTGCAGGCCCTGTGGTAATCCAAAGTTGAGGAAGAGCATTCAACGTTTGCATCAAAAGAACACGTTCAGCTTCAGCTCCACCCCTCAGAGATATAGTGAGAGGAATCTCCCAAGACCTATCAACCATAGAAAACATGTCAGACACAAAGGCATCCAAGGATTGGGCTACGAACCCAACCCTTGGGAAATCACTCACCAAAAGTTTCCCAGGAACCCAAAAATCATGCCAAAAAGACACCCCAAAACCACCCCCAGGATCGACATAGGCAACCTTCCAAAAGTAAGAGCTTTCGTTAACAATTGCCCGCCACACAGAACAACCATACACTCCCAAATTCCAACATGGTCTCCATTCGGACCTACCTTGTCCAAACTTTGCAACAATCAACCTCCTCCACCATGCATCCCTCTCAACCCCAAATCTCCAAGCCCATTTCCCCAACAAAGCTCGATTCATACACCTAAGATCCAAGACTCCCAAACCGCCTCTAATAATTGGAGTCTTTACAATATCCCATTTCACCCAATGCAATCGTTTTGTCTCAAACACCCCTGACCACAGAAAGTCATTATAAATCTTCTCAAGTCTAGCAATCACTGAGCTCGGAGCCCTAAAGAGGGAAAGAAAGTATATAGGGAGATTAGAAAGAACACTTTTCAAAAGCACCAACCTCCCGCCAAAAGATAGCATTCTGGCCTTCCAAGAAGCTAATCGAGCTTGTACTTTTTCAATCACTGGTTCCCAAACTGTCAAAGAAGCTGCTCTGGAACCCAATGGCAATCCTAAGTAGGTAGTCGGAAGAGAACTCAACTCACATCCAAAAATGTCTGCATAACGTGATGGATTCTCAACCTCCCCAACAACCATCATGGAACTCTTATGTAAGTTCACTCGTAGACCCGAAATTGTTTCGAAGAGAGCTAAGGCTGTGAGAAGAGAACGAACTTGGTCTTCAGATGCATCACAAAATAACAACGTATCATCAGCATAGAGAATATGAGTGACCTCTCCCATTCTCAATTCTTCATTCATAAAGAATCCCTCAACCAAACCACGAGACTGCAAAGTCCTCAGAATACCTGAGAGAACCTCCATCACCAGGATGAAAAGAAAGGGAGAAAGAGAGTCTCCTTGTCTTAGCCCTCTTTTGCTTGAGAAGTAACCAGAAGCTTCCCCATTCACAAGAACAGAGAACGAAGCAGCAGTGATGCACCCCCGAATCCACCTAATCCAAGGTGGGGGGAAACCCATAGTCTTCATAACAATAAAGAGGCACTCCCAATTTACATGATCATATGCCTTCTCTATATCCAATTTGAAAACTAATCCTGGTTTTCGAGCACGCTTCCTAGAGTCAATGAGCTCATTTGCGATAAGTATCGCATCTAAGATTTGCCGACCACCCACAAAAGCACATTGTTCCACCGCCACCAAGCCTCCCATGAAAACTTTTAATCTTTCCATAAGCACCTTTGAAAGAATCTTGTATAGGCTTGATACCAAACTAATAGGTCTAAGATCCCTAATATCACTTATAGCTTCTTTCTTCGTGATAAGACACAAGAAGGTGTGATGAACGCTCTTTGGGAGAGTCCCAGACACATAGAACTCTTTTAAAGCATTCACCACATCCGATTTCACGATATACCAGAACTTCTTAAAGAACCCCATTGGGAAACCATCAGGTCCAGGTGCATGTTCTCCTTTACTTTTATTAATCACCCTCCACACTTCATCTTCATCAAATGTTCTCACCAAAAAGTCTGTTGCTTGCGGAGGAAGAGACGGAAACACAATACCAAAGGGAAAAGGCCTTCTAGGAAATGCCTCTTGAAAGATAGACTCATAATAGGACACAATAGCACCCGCCAGTTGATCTTGACCCGAGCAAAGAATGTCATTCACCCAAATATTATCCAAAAAATTCCTCCTCCGATTAAAGTTAGCAACCTTGTGGAAATAGGAAGTATTTTTATCCCCAAACTTGAGCCAAGTCTCTCCAGATTTTTGACGCCATGAAATTTCCTTTCTCTTCCACAATCTATCCAAATGACACTTCAACATATCACGTTGCACTCTATCTTCCTCTGACCAGACTCCAGCTTCTTCTAATAAATCAAAGTCTGCAATATTTTGAAGAGTGAAACTAATTTCTTGATCCACATGCTTGAAGACCTCTATATTCCACTTTTTAATATGAGCTTTCATCTGTTTTAGCTTCTTTGCACACCTGAAGAAATCCCCAAATCCCCCAATCTCATCAACCCACCAATTGCATAACTGACCCTCAAAATCCTCATGGTCAGCCCACATGAACTCATATCTCCAGGGTCGATGAATAACACGGTCCTCTCCACAAGACAACAAAAGAGCACAATGATCAGAACTCACTCTAACAAATGATTTCAAACAACATTGGGGAAACTCACTCTCCCAATCAGAAGAGACCAACACCCTATCCAAGCGAGATAATGAAGGGTTTGAATGTTGATTTGACCACGTGAACTTATATCCAAGCATAGGGAGATCCATGAGGGCGTGCTCTTCAATAAAATCATTAAACATTGCCATATCCACAGGGTTTCTTGGACCCCCCACAACATCATCTTGAGACCTTACCACATTAAAATCTCCCACGACACAAGCAGGAAATGACCACCAAGATAAACACGATGTCAATTCATCAAAGAAATCCTGACGCTCACTACCATCATTAGGTCCATACACATTAATCAACACCCACTTAAAACCATTATCTCGGCATGTAAACACTGTCACCAAACAAAACCTCCCCACCCAATGACATTCTAGATCAAACACCAGATTATCCCAAGCAACCAAAAGACCACCCGAGAGACCAACTGATGGTTTGTCAACCCAACCCATTCCATAGCAACCACCAAGTACACCAACAATAGAATCCGTGCAACTTTCAAGTTTTGTCTCTTGGAAGCAAAAAATCGAAGGTCGAATAGGAGCAAGAAAATCTCTGATGGAATATTGTTTCTCTGTATTTCTCAAACCTCTAACATTCCACGACACCAATTTAAGGATCATAAAGAAAGGCGAAGCGGAGCATACCCATTCCTGCGTGGACGACTAGTTGACACAAGAGTAGAAACATCAGTCCTCTCCACTCCTAATTGGCGAAGCGCTCTCTCCTGAGGGGATCGAGAAGGAGGCTTTTTCCTTCTTAATAGCACCTCGTGAAGAGTTTTTTCCCTTGAGCTGTCTGAGGACTCAGTTGAATCCTCAAACCTTAAATCAACAAAGTCGGACAAAAGACGACTAAGTCGAAACATGCCAAGCTCTTCTGATCTATGCAAACTTCCAGCTTCCAAGTTTCTACCATCTGCACATTCAACCAAATTATACTCATCCTGCTGAAACCATGACTCTGAAATTTGTAAGGGGCCACTAAAATCCCAGCTCGCACATGGATTTAAGAAAAGGGAAATGGGCCATGCACAAAGAGCCCACCAAAGCTGAAAAAACAATTGGGTTTTGGAGATCAAGTTCTGTTGAGAGAGGGCCACGACTTGGCCAAGCAAATCAGCTCCCTCACCATCTTTATTCATTGCAGAATCTTGGGCCAGCCCATTAACTGCAACCCTTTGGCCCACCCTCACTTGATCAATCTCCTGACCCACCAACGAGTCCCAATCCTTGCTGACTTCTCCCTCTTCAAAAGACACCCTATTATCTTGACCATTCAATTCCTCACCTGTCAAATCATCACCACCATTCGGAGCAGCACTAGAAACCAAACGAACATCCGTTGTACCCTCACCATTGATATCCGTCCCCTCAAATATTCTCTCCCTGCAATTAACCGGACAAGACATAGCATCCACCCCTTCACACGCAATCGTCTGAGTCCTCGATCTGATACTCTCAATAAGTGGGCCATCTGAAGTCATGTCTACCCCATCCACTCTCCTCCTCCGTACGTATACCCCACGCCCCTTTCCCTTCCAGCCATGAAGAAAGCGATCGCCGGAGTCAATGGTCGGATGTGGCCCTATTGGTTCCACCGCAACTCTTACCGGAAAAACAAATGATCCATAGCAAAGGGGAATTTCATCTGGGATCACCTCGTTGGGAACAATACGGATTCGGACTTCATTCAGAGAGACTCCCTGATCTTGAATTTCTCTGACCTCTCCACAAAAATTTCCAAGTTGTGCGAGAAGCTCATCGGATCGCAGATGAAGGGGGATTCCATCAATCCGAACCCAGACTTCTCCAAGAGAACGAATAACACCTGATCTCCCTGCGTTTTCGATCCAATAATCAGCCAAAATCTGAAACTCCTTATATTGCCATCGATTAAGAGCCATAACCCGGTCCACTTCCGCCCGCGACGAACATGGCATTAGCCAAAGACCATCGCTAAGGGGTTGGAGCTTTGAATATGAAACGCCCCAATTTTTCTGAACCCAAGTTCGAAAGTCCTCCCAGATTGGAATACCTCGCCCAACCAACCTCAGAACCAAAGATGCCCGGAGAAAATCTTCCCGACCCTTCACCCCTTTGTTTGCGACCATCACAACCTTTGAGCCTTCACGGGTCTGCACGGAGCAACTTCCATCCTTTGGCCAATCTAACGACTTGAACAAATCAGCGAAAGAGTTTCGCAAGCCCGCCGTCGTCGAGTTCAATGTCTTCGAGATATTAGTTTTTGGGGGAGAAACAGAGGCGGTAGAGCGGCGCTTTCGCTGAAGAATACATCTTGACAAGCTCTGAATGGATTTAAGAAACAATGACCATCCCAAGATAAGATCGTCCATTGGTACCAACACAAAGAACATTTTTCCTGTCCTACAAGATTCTGACAACCGAAGGAAACGCTCTCCATTCTTAATCATGCCCCCAACATGAAGCACACGGGATCCGCTTCGTCTCACATCCTTACCCGAAAAATTCCATCCACGCATCAGCGCCACCTGCAACACTCCTTGGAGCCAATCGATCAACGCTTCATCAAGAAAAATAAAATGCGCCCTACCCGTTGACCGTACTGCCAATCGGAATCCCGCATCCGAAAACGACCAATTTTCCTCTAATTCAACTGAACAACCCCTACATCTAAAAGAGAAACCTAGTCGATCCTTACTCTGTAATAAGACTCGATCACTCCCCCACCCACTCTCCCTCACCCCCTCTCGCTCTCTCTCTCTCTCTCTCTCATTGTAACTGGATATTTATTAAATTGACCCATTCAATGAGCAAATATACGAATTTATTATTTTAGTTATAAAAAAATTATAGGGTTAAATCTTATTATAGATAGTCCCAATTATACCTAAATAATCAATTTTGAACAGTGGTTTCAAAAACTTCTATCATGAGCTCAACTTTACATCATATAGACTCAATTGATTGGATGCGTGATCACTTGTCTTGATCGTAGGACAATCGCTGTGGTGGAGGGCTGTTTGTTTGGATTGTTGTGTATGGAGGTTACTAATTAAGGGAAGGAATGGAGTGTATGTGTATGTCATTTTGCCCCAGCTTCACTGTGTGTGTGTGATGTTCATTTGGCATTTGGACGGGTTCTTGTTGGGGCGTGGGCGGTAATGCGGCCTCCATCGTTATCCCTTTTTCTTGTTTCTTTTCCCCTATGTTCTGGTCTGGGTAGCTCTTTAATTTGGCCTCTTCATTGTACTAGTTTCTTTCTTGTATACACCGCTGGTATATTTTTGTTGCAATTTGCTAATAAAATTCCACCATTATAGAAACCTTCCGGCCACCACTGGGGTTATTTGGCGAGGGAATGGCAGCTTGGACAAAAATAAAATTACTCACCAACAATGCTGTTAGGAGAACGATTCCAGAATGAGAGAAGAAAAGAAGCGGAAGAAGAATCAAACGATGCGATCAGCTTTGCTTTCATCTACATCCATCTACACAACTTATAAGTTATAATACAAATTCAATCATTCAATTTTCTCCAATAAAAGATACAAACTAATGGCAAGAGTTGAATGAAGGAAGCAGTTGGCGCGCGTACCTGACGAGGCGCTTGGCGATGAGAGGTTGAGCTCCGATCCATACTGAAGAGCGAGCAACAGAGAGTAGAGCAAGACTTTAGAGGACATGTACGTTATTCCCCGAATTAGCTGCGGGGCTGGATCCTCGTTGCCGCCATTTTCGCCGGCGGTGGGGAGAAGAGAGAGAAACAGTCGTCCTCCGGTGTTCTTGGACCTCATCTTCCGAGTAGAAGAAAAGCTGTCCGCTCCAAATCGGCCCATATGAGGGTCCTTATATTGGGCCTCATCACCATTGGCCCGTCCACCTATGGATACTATTCAAGCACGTGAAAGAATAGAAATCGTATCTTCCAATGCCAAAGTAGTTAACAGACCATCAAAACATCTGAATAAATCTCCGATAATCAACAGCAAACAGAAATTATCGTTCAATTTTCGGATAAAAATCTAAAACCCCGGCCCTTGTAATTATCTTCTCCCAAAATAAAATATTCAAAACAGAAACCCTTTCATATTTCCTCCCTTTTCCCGCACCGCCGTTACAATATATATTCTAATCAAAGTAAACCACTAGAAAAGAAACCCAAGAGATCAATCATTCGAGTGTCTTTCAAAAAAAAAATCATTCGATTCGAGTGAGTAACACACAAGAAAATATGGAAGGGAAAGTAGTGTTGAGATTTGGCACCATTGTTTCTCTCTTGCTTTTGGTCGCTTTGGTTGGCGCCACCATTGCCAACGCCTATTCAAACGCCAAGGTGTTCGATGTCCGTCGCTACGGAGCAAAACCCGACGGCAAGTCCGATTCAAGCGAGGTTAGTACTTAGTACGTAGTAACATTAGGTATGTAGTCTTTTTTTTTTTAGGGAAGTTTTTTGTTTTAAAACTTGTTACCTGCAGGCATTTTTGGCGGCTTGGAACGACGCTTGTAAATATGAAGGGAAGGCGAGGGTGGTGGTGCCCCCAGGGGAGTTCGTAACGGACGCAATCATGTTCTTGGGTCCTTGCAAAGGATCGATGGGGTTTATAATGAAAGGACGGTTGTCGCCTCCCGATAGGCTCAGCGACTCCGGTAAGTGGATCACCTTCCGGTACGTTAACGGGCTTATGGTTTCCGGCCACGGCACGTTCGACGGCAGGAGTTACGCCGATCCCTCTCCCAAACCTTCGGCCATGGTAATTACTACACTACCACTCAACTTCCTTCTCCCTTCCCCTTTTTTCGTCCCCTTAGAAAGTGGCTGCATGGTCAATTTCATCAGGATATTATGGGCGGCTAATTGATACATATCTTCTACTAAAAATGCTATTCCAATTACCATACTCATCTTCAATTTCAAAATTGCGATTTATCTAAAACGAGTAATTAGATATTTCAATTTTGTTTCTACCCACAAAATCATATTAATCTTAGTGATTGATGGAGAAAGGAAGATAAAAAGTCAAATATTTTGTAGCGATTTTAATGCTTCAATAATTATTTTGTTATACGCCTTTGAAAATATGATATTTCTTTAATACGACGGCATGTGCTTTGATGTGTAGTCACACGCATATATAATGTTATGTATCAAAATCATATTCAATGGTAATTTTAATTACTTTAATGCGTGCAGTCGTTGCGGTTCGAGTTCATAAACGACGGCGTGATCAGCCACATCCGTTCGGTCAACAGCCGCAACGCGCACATGCAGATCTACGGGTGCAACAAGATTCGTATGCACAACATCCTCATCAAGGCCCCCGGCAACAGCAAAAACACCGACGGGATCAAGATCGGGGCGTCGACCGACGTCCACGTCACCAACTCGGTCATCGGGACGGGCGACGACTGCATCGCCATCCTGGGGAAGAGCTCCGACATCCACGTGTCCCAGGTCTTCTGCGGGCCCGGCCACGGCATCAGCATCGGGAGCATGGGCTACTACCCGAACAACGAGAAGAACGACGTCGTCACGGGCGTCACGGTGACGGACTGCACATTCCGTGGCACGACCGACGGTGTCAGGATCAAGACGTGGGCAACGCCCAACGCCGGCCTGGTCCAGAATCTGACCTTCAGTAATATCCATCTCGACAGCGTGGATAATCCCATTATTATTGATCAGGAGTACTGCCCTAAACCTCCGTGCAATCAGGTAAAATTTGCAATCTAGTACCCTATTTTTTATTTATTTCGTTTTATATTCATTGAATCGAGAAAGTATCACTATCTCGTAATCATGTTTGTATTGTTGTTGTTGGCATATGCTTAGGTGCCATCACATATTCGAATCGAGGATGTGACGTACGACAACGTATGGGGGACGTCGAGGTCGGCGGTGGCGGTGAAGTTGAACTGCAGCAAGATGTACGGGTGCAAGGGGTTGGTGTTGAAGGACATAAACATGATTCAGAAGAATGGACTCGATGCTACTTCGTTTTGCTCCAATGCCGTCGGCGCCACTCACGGCGTGCAAAAACCATCGCCTTGCTTGTAGCCTTCCTTGTAGGGCAGGCCGCCATGTTTATTATTATTATTTTTGGCCAATTGGGTGCCACAATTAGGAAATGATTAAGCAGTGATTAGAGAGGATTAGCTACTAGAAATAAAGACGGCGGGAATTAAGTGGTGGTGGACATATGCAGTAATGCAGCCACCCTTCGAAGCCGGGTCGTTATTATGTTAAGGAATTGGTGGTTAGAGTAGAGAGTCTAGATAGTCATGGTTTGAGTAATTATGTTAGCCTTTGGGACGAACTATGTAGGCATTGTCACAATTGTTGATTTGGGTTTATGGAAAGAATCAAGTTTCTTGTTACGTTAGGTGACAAGAACACCTAATTCATGCATTTTTTCATTTATTCACGCCATATTTTCGTTATTCACGCCATATTGACATTGTTCACGTAAGAGTGTTGCTAATTCACGCAACCGATATTGTTTAGTCACGCAACCTGGTGTCGATTCACGCATATTGTTATTTATTCACGTCATTTTAAAATTAAATTTTAGACGTTAAAATATATCAAAATGGATGTCATTGTGTAGATTATGATCAATGCAACATATTTTTACAGACTAATTGAGAATCCAAATTTAATTCCATAAAATATAGTCAATACAAATTATTAGGGGGAAAAAGTCTGAATTTTCATTTACGTGAATAACTTACACTCTTACGTGAATAAACATAGTATTACGTGAATACACACAAAATGGCGTGAATGAGTACAAAAATACGTGAATAAATTGACATTAGGTGTTTTGTCACCTAACGTGACAAGAGATGTTTTCCTTATGGAAATGTGCCATTTGTTTACTTCAGTTCAGAGTTGGGATCAAACCATTTAGAGGTTCGTACCTACCATTTAGATTGATAGGGTTGTGGTAATTTATTGCCCAATGTAAACAACCATGAAGAACCCCTTCTGCCTTTATCGTTATCTCTAGTTTAACGCACCAATTTTTTTTTTTTTAATCTCTAGTTTAAATGGTGGTTTGAATTAAAAAATGAGATAATTTGGTCAATTTTTTCGTTTTACAAAACGAGTAGATTCGAATTATTTGTCCCGCCTCAAACAATTATAATTATTTCAAAATGAGTCAATTTGAAATTTCTCAGCCAAAATTGCTTTCGATATCATCTCACTAAATTCATCCGTTCTCATCTAAACCATCTCTAATACTCCAAGCTGGCAACCTCGTCCCCTACTCCGATCCCCTCTAGATTTATAGTTGTGTAGTATTTGTATAGAGGTGGGTTGGGCCGGGCCTCGCTCAATGGGCTTATCAACACAAGCCCAATTAACTAATGGCATGAAGGGTTCGGCTCCCTGTTTTGTTTATTTCACGAAGGAAATTTCCAACTCAAATTCAATAATCAAATGTGTTTAATGTGATTTGAGGGTTAATTTTTTAGATGATCGGTCATACTTTACAATTTGTTCCGAATCTTATCCAAACTTGCAAATAAATGAATAATATAGTGGTCTTTTCTGAAAATTTAGGTCTTTCATTTGCTCGTTTTGTATTATTTTATCATATTGTTGTCATCTAAATTATATATCAGATTTTCCTATACTTTACTAACATTTCTCATGTTTTGAGATATTTTATTCTATATTTGAGCTCAAGTATAACTGTAATTGTGCACAAGTTTATCTCTCAAACAATGTATATTCGTCAGTCATCACATCTCGGATATATCATTCAACTCATTGCACATGTTTGTTCATATTACATGATAGAACTAATGCCCCACCACCACCACCACCCAAAGGAAACTTGTACACATGGGTCGCCTGCCATGCAATTCCAACATGGCAGTGTCACAACACATTTTCCCTTCAATATTTTGCTATAAATGTTGACACACACTACTTTGAACTTGTCGTTGCGGTTTCTTGGCATTATTTATGCAACAAAAACCCCATTTGTCTCCTTACGGAATCGGCCGTGTCCTTCTCGAATGTATCTAGCTTGGACAAATGGATTTGAACTTCTTAAAGATGAGCAACCCCATGAAAGGTGGGAGAAAAGAACTCAGAAGAACGACCAAAGGGGAAGTAAGTGGACTATGATTTTTTGTTCTACATGGAAAGCCAAATCACACGCCAGGAAGTTGGAAATTTGGATCGATATTGTTGTGGGCCTTGTTAGTTTTCCACCATTGGAACACCTTCCTGTGAAACTTCCCCAGCCATGACCAAGTGCTCTCTGTTGAGGATCTAGAAGAAAGAATGGACGATTATCTTAATTGGTAATATAATCTCATTCACGTTAGGTAAAGGAGCTCCAATCGAATCCCATTTGATCTTCCTTTTACATATATTTAAGTCAATCCAAGTCTCATTCTTGTAATATTTTAGGATTTTCTGTTCCCATTTTTAACTTATCATGAATTGTAAAGGGGGTGTGAGTATGATATATTCAATAAGAAGCTAATACTTGTCTTTGGTGGTGGCACTCGTATTGATATATTTCGTTCCTACTCTAGAGAAATAGGATAAGATTTCTTATAGGACTTTTCTTAGTAGTAGTACGAGTTAACCAATTTAGCATTTGATTTAGAAGTCTGTTGTTTGAATCCTCGCGACTCCCAATTTTAACAATTGGACTAAACACAAGACAAGATGAATGAATTTTATTTGAGAAGGCGTGTAGGGAAAAAATATAATATAAATTTTTATGACATCTTTCAATGAATCGAGTTATTTGAACCAATTGTTTATTGAAGGTATTGAATTCTTACCCATAAGCATATCCCACACTTGGAGTTGGAGGTACTCACTATGACTATGACTATCCGTACCCGTACCCGAACCCACATACTTATAAATTCCTAATCGGTGAAATCATCACTCCCCTCCAATAACACCTCTCTTTAAACGTAGACGATTACTACATAATTGAATGGTTAACATTTTTCGTATTTCTATTATATCACGGTGCCAATTTGAAAAATTTGATGCTCTAAAGGGATACCCAATAAAATACCGTTTTACCACAGTGGTAGATAGAACATTAACGGCTTATTTAACAAAAAAAAAAAAACAGGAGATGAAGGTTTATTATTGGTGGGAGAGAGGGAAAAGGACTATTCCAACGACAACGTCCAAACAAAAGAGAAGATGCATTGGCAAGATCTCCATCGTCAACAAGAACCAACGTCTGTAACAGAAGACCCAAAAGGAAGGGCAGGCCAGGGCAAGAATCACTTTCACCCCTTTCTTTCTTTCTTTGCGACACCGTAACGGCGAGAAGTGAAAGAGGTCGGTTACGCTTACGTTTACTTTCCCTGGTTGACTGAAACACGCGGGAAGTCCCGGGACACGCGGCAGCATGGCGGTGGCCCGCTGCGTGGATATTTTAACTTTATTTCTGGAGGCGGGAAAAAGGAAAAATAATAAAGGGGATATATTAAAAAGGCAGAAAAAGACACGTTTCCATATTAAAAAAAAAATTGAGGAATTATTGGATGGTCTTGTCGGAGTATCTGAAGTTTTCACGTGTCTTCAGCTGAGCGGCCCAATGGGCTTTTGGCGGCAGTTTTAGGCCGTTGAACCCGTTCAACTGTCTCTGTGTTTATTTTTTTCCTTTCCTTTTCCTAATCTTTTTTTTTTTGTTAAAAAGACAATAATGGCTCCAAAATACAAAAAGGAAAGTGAAGAAGAAGAAAAGGTGATTAATAAGGGGAAAAGACAGGCGAAATGTAATGCTGACCTATCACACGAAGAAAGAACAATTGTTAAAGAAGAAGATTGGTCTATCAAATTGGATCATGTCCAATTGTCCATAGCATTTTTCAATATTTTTTATTTTGATTTGGGATTTCGAATTGAAGATGTTAGGGGGGGACGAGAAGAGGGTCGGAGTGTCAAGAACCAGTTGGTCCCAATAACTCGAGTTGTTGGGAGAGGTTCAATCGTGGATCATATACCACAACACTAATACGGGGGAGGACTGACCATGGAGATAGCATGAGAAAGATGTTGGATGGTAAGAGAACAGAATAACGGAGAAAAGAACAGCGAATAAATTATTGTCTTGTAATAATTTTCGATCAATGATCTCTCTCTACAATATAATATCCTCATCGGAAGTTGTGTGTTGACCACCTAATCCTGTTGTTTCCTTTTTCCAGATGAGGGGATCCTAATCCTGTTTCGATCAGGAAAAGAAAAAGGTTGTATCCATGTGTATTTATGTCCATTATATTCGCTTGTGAAAGGAGGGTTGAGACTGAAAGAGTTTCATTCATCCAACTACTTGTTCCCAATCCCATGTGGCAGCCAACCAATGAAAACTTCCCCCACTCCCAGTCAGTCCCATTGGCAGGACGGTCGGTTACTTTCTGATCCCAAATAGTGAGCGCGTCCTGTCCTGAGCGTGCGAAAAAGGAAAATGTGGGCCCGTGGGTTTTCACACTGGGCCACCCAGACAAGAACTGGACTGGACGACGAGAGGGCCCCAGTACCACGAAAGCCCAATATTTTTTCACTCCTGTCCTGTGGATAGGTCCAATTATCGGTTCATGCTGTATAAACCTGGCTAGCTCCCTCTGTATTCATTGTTTCTTTCTGTCAGCTTATTGGTTCATTTCAGGTCGATCTGAAAGAAAGAACAGATAATGAAAGAGTGCTCGCCAATAAAATAATCCATCACTTATTGGTTCTTCTTGCTATGATAGAATACGTCCAGTAAACTACTTTCCTTGCCCATCGAGTGTGGTGAGAACTGAGAACCATACATATTCAACCAATGATTTGAGTTATCGCTTATGAGTTAGGAAGAGAATATACGGAAGGATTGCATAAAACTCCTTACTGCTTCCGAAAATGAGTTGGTGTTCATAAATCCAGTTATTGAAAAATATGGATCCTATGTCGTTCCTTTACACACCTCCTCATCAAAAAGGGAAACCAACCTATAAATTTAAAGTTTGCATAGACTGGTCACAAGATGTTGTGCTTGTTCAGTTTTAAGTTAATAAAATTTTGAACATTATAACTCTCGGTTATAACTTAAAAGCTTGCAGATGCTATTAAAATTTAAATGGGGTGACTATAGTCTATAGTCTATAGTTACGCATTTCTATATTCATAAAATGCTAAACCAATTAATTGAATATCACAAGGGAAAGACTTAATTAATCCATTTCCTCCAACTACTAAAGTGATCGATTGATTGAAGACAAAACACGTGTCTTGTTTTGAAAAACATTTGTTATGTTGTTTCAAATCCATTGAACAAACAACCACATCCTACAAAAATGACACTAATTAATAGAAGAAAGATTCAGTATCCCTAATAAAATGATATCTATATCAAGCATTTTCAAATCTATCAAGCGAACTCTCAAATAGAATACTTTATAATAAATCTATTAGTCTCCATATACACCAATAAAAGATTTGATATATACTTTGTTCATTCTCAAAATCTCCCGTAAGTTTGGGTAAACAGATGTCAATAAATTGATTTGAAGTTAGTTTATAGAAAGTTTTGGAGGTCTTTAAGTATTTCAAAAAGAAAATTTTGTATAAACATTATATATATAACATAATAAAATCAAATAATTTTTTCATAAACCATTAAAGTCATGATTTACCTCCACTTAGAAACTACAACTATATATAAATCAGGTATCAGTTATAATAACTCGAATTATCAAAATATTGAAAACGTTCTCTTATTATTGATAGATCTTCATATATTATTAGTTGACCTCGAGGTTAGCTCATTGACTTGCTAGTTTGACGCATGCATGGCCATGTCGATCTAAGTAGTAAGTGTAAGTGGTCAAAATAATGGAGGGATGTTGGCGGGAAAGCGACTAGAATGATCGTAAGTTAGCTCCTTTCCTTTCCTTTCCTTTCCTTTCCTTTCCTTTGGGACACTCGCACAACACCTAGCGCAAGTGGGAATATATATGGAGGAAGGGAGGGAGGGAGAGTTATTGGATTGGACAGCAATGGCGCTTTGTGTAGGAAATGCAAGAAAAGGGTACTAGTGGCCATTTTGCGGACTAACCTACAACATATGGCCACCTATCAATGCTCGAGTTTCCACGTGGACTTGTCTCTGATGATTTGGACATTTGTCGTACGATGGAAGAAGAACATGGAGAGGACTTGTCTTCACGACGATCTTAACGGTCGGGTCGGGTCGGGAGACATTATGTTCTATTGTTTTTGCCAAATGAAATTAACGGTTTTAGACTCTTCAATATAGTCTGCAGTCTGCACCAACTTGCATATGCCCTAGTTTCTCCGTGCCCATTAAGTTTCCCTGCCTAATTTGTCTGAATCAACACGTAATTTTTTTCCAAAATATAATGACAAAAATTGGGCACTAGGAAAAAAAAAATGAATGTTCGATTCTAATGACTTCGGTGTCTTTCCCTTGTTTTGAAACAAATAGAAATATGGAAATACAAATATTATAGGTGTCAATGAATTAAAAATATTTAGTGTGATGATCTGTATTGTTATGTACAAATTACAATCATCGGGACCCAAATGAGTTGACTCGAATGGAATAAAATTTGAACCTAACCAAAAACCATAAAAAGTACCTAATCAAAGATCGAGATACAGAATAAAAAAATGGATCAAATGACCAAATTATTAGATGGGTTGCCATTCCTAATTAACCATTTATTCACATATAACCTTAAATGATATGTAATCATGTTTATTAGGTCTCTTATATATAATGAGAAAAAAATTGTTGGATGTAACTAAATATACACATGCGTGCGTGTGTGGTGGTAGAGAGACGAGGGAGCTTCTTAATTATATTCATTCAGAGACACAACTGAGTGGAAGTCGGCAGGAAGAGAAAGATTTGGAATTATTGTCATCTAGATGAAACTGTTCTTTTATTTTCAGTGGGTGTGCATGTCAGCCTATATGTCATATATGATTCCATTTCATTTTGTCAACTCAGTTAGCTAAGAAAAACATTGGAAACAAACCCCCAAGCTACTGCCGTCGTCAATCGTCAAAGGTTGTTTATTTAGTCCACAAGAAGTTGCGAATTTACCATTTGTAAGAGCTTACGTACGTTCTTATATTGTTGGACAAATTGGTAGGAAATTACAACTAAAGTATGACTTGACTTGATCACCTTATCCAATGGGGGACTGTTATTCACAATAAAGATCGATGTAGCTTATTAGTTGTTTTCCAATTGTGTAAATAGGATAGATAGATAGATTAGTATGGGTTAACTAAGTTATGCTTTATTATCCACTTAAGAATATAACTCCTAATCGTATTGAAATTCGCAATCGATTTAGAATGGGATTTCTAGCTCTAGTAAAGTCTGGAGTCCTAGGTACAACAACTATATATGATTACTAACTTAACTAGGAAACCTAATGTTAGACCAACTGGACAATCGATGAGGGATTTGAACTTAGATCTAAAATTTCCAACTAGGAATCCCGATACCAACAATATCACTAGGGTTTTTAGTCCTTACTCGAGAAACACATTCAACTAAGGAACATTTTGTGCTTCTTTGAACATTGTGGCTCGGATGCAACCAGTATATCTCTTATCACATTTGAGAAGTTTCCTCAACGGTGGATCTATTCATAACACTTCTCCCCCAACTGCCAAATTACATGGAAACTTTCTAGCAAATCTAACAAATATAGTAGTTGGCAAAACTCTGGCCTCAGTCTTGTACATGGCTTCTTGATCTTCCCCAAATACGAAAAAATAATATGTCTACTCAAGCTAGCTATTGGGTCACCATGGCCGTGACACTAGCAAACACCACGAGCAGGAAATTGATTGCTACTTAATTATTATATCTTTTTGTATAGAGAAAAGGATGATCATATATATTATACACATTGTTATATATGATGTCTATATTCTGTGTACAGAAGTGGAAAGAGGATACTACCGGATTTGGGCCCTTTGGCCTTCCATGATTGGAAGTTGGTTTCAATTGTTTTTATTACCACCTTTGTGTGTTTTCAGGTATATACCTACCTTACGTGGCAGAGGAGCTCAACTACCTAACGGATCAAAACACCGCCGTGGAGTGGACAGCAATGTCGTGACACATCATCTTACCGAACTTAAATCTCGCTTTCTATTGGCTCCCATGGGGAACCTCTTCCTAATTGTTTATACTTTATGTGTTGTCATCAAGACTGTAGAATGATCGGGAAACATCATGAAGAAGCGCGTCCATGCCATCTCCGACGACGGCAGTCGGTGGTGTATCTCAGCCAACCCGATAGCAAAGTTTCACTACAAAAGAGAGTACGTGGTCATAGCCACTTATATAATACTTGACTTAGTGTAACATCTTTGTAGTTAGTGACACGGTGGTTATTTTCAACATGTAGAATTATCGTCGTCGAAGATAACAATTCTTACATCATCTTTCTCAATATTTTCTACACGTTATGGTCTTTGTACACTAAAAAAACATTACTCTTCAAAATTATGTGGGTTGATATGTAATATTATGTGATGTATGTATAGTCATGCAGGTGATCGAGTTCAGTCTGAACTATGTTTTAGATACGAGATTAGGCGAACCACCATGCTCGTGAATAGCAATTCTCTTGAATCTCCTGTAAGTTTATTGGTTAGCTAATTAGGTTATACACAATAATTAGAAGAATAGCAAGGCAGCGTAAGAATTAGTGCATCATGCATTACCGTTATCTTAGTAAAGTTTAGGGTTGAGACAATAATCATGTAAATTTAGAAGACGTGTGGGCCAAGTGACATGGACCCTAAGGTGTATCCATGTATGGTGCGGAAAGGAGGAAGGGCACGTGGAGGGCAAGATTGCCCTCGTAAGAGGCTACAACGCGGGGTTAGGGCTTATTATTGTGCACTATTATGTCTGATAAATACGAGTTTGGCTTTGTGTTTTCTTTAACTTTTTTTGTGGGGTCTTTTTCTATTTGACGGATTCAAAAGCAAAATTTCAAGCCAAATCGACTTCCTCCATATCTATCTATTTGCATTGTTCCATGCTATTTGAAAGATTTGAATCGGAAATCTCTAAATTTAAAAATCAATGATACAAATTTGTTGGATTGTAAACTCTTACCTTTTTTTTCTCACGAAAAAGATTGAGATTATTGCTTGATATGAAGGTTTTTATCCACGTGGCTCTGTTCTTTCACCCAGATAAAAGGGTACTCTTGGTTTGATATAAATGGAATGATTGAATACCGAAAGGTAAGGAATAAGAAGTGGAAATTACGGGACAAAGATGAGCCAATACAGAATTAGACAAAAAGAAATGACCCAATGGAAGAAGGGGCGGGTAGAAGAATGGATTGTTGTGCCAATACAAAAAAAAAACAGAGTACCAAAAGTAGTAAGCTTTAAAACTTAAAAGGCTAAAAGGGATAATCACACAAATAGAAGGGCTAGAAAGGGTAGTCGTCGTGGCAAATAATCAGGTAGCTAACGGCCCATCATTGCCCTCCAAGAAGGCCCACTCTCCCTCACAACACACATCTCTCTTTTCTTTGATTTTTCTACCCCATTTCCCATTCTCGTGGAATCGTGAAAACCCTAATTGAAATAGTTTAATAATTTAAATTGTTGAAAGAAGTCAAAAATTGTAATTAAATTTGATTCCTTCACTTAATAAATACAAAAAAGAAAATACATGATCCAACAATAACTCGAGCACAATATATAAGGAGTATCACCACTTTCATAATATTGATAAAATCATAATCCTCTGTAACAACCATCCTGCATATAAGGATTGAGGATTTAACATGAATTTCATCATTATTTACATAATCAAAATAACCTTGAACCGTATATAAAAGAGTATATGGTTAGAGAAAAGATGAGTTTTAACAAAATAAGTACAAACTATTTGCTTTCTTCATGTAGTACCCCTTTTGACTATTTTATATTATGGAGCTTGACAACAACAATAATAATAGGGTAAAGAAAGAAAATAAGGAAGGACCACATTTCCCTATTAGCCCCTTTGGTCTTCTCCTACTAATACCCCAACACGTGGACGTGGTCTCCCTCTTTCTCCCTTATGACAAATAACAATATTACCCACTCCCCCATTGGCCCATCCTCTCTCTATATATATACACAACCTCCTCCATCCCCATTTCTCATCACCACCTCCACCTCCACCATCAAAAGTTCAAAACCCATCCTTCAAAAAAAAAAAAAAAAACCACACTCCTCTACTCCATCTTCACTCTAAAACACACACACACTCAAAAACCCACTTCACAAAACAATCCACCATGATAGCCTCTTCTTCTTCAATCTCCCTAAAGAATCCCCATAGAATCACAAATCCAAAAACCCAATCCTCCCTTCAAACCCCTTCCATCCTACAATTGCCCAAACACTCTCCTCCCACAAATTTCCCAACTCCAATTACAAGGAGAGATGGACAAGACAACAAGCCTCAACAAGTAGTAGTCAAGGAGGAGGTTCAAAATAGCAAAGGATGGAACTTTCTACAACGAGCCGCCTCGAAGGCGCTGGACGTGGTCGAGTCGGCTCTGGTCGCTCAGGAGCGTCGCCACCCGCTTCCCAAAACCGCCGACCCACGTGTTCAGATCGAAGGAAATTATGCTCCCGTGCCCGAGCAGCCGATCGTTCACGACCTGCCCGTGGTTGAGGGGGAGATTCCGGATTGTATTCGGGGGGTTTATGTAAGGAACGGGGCGAACCCGCTCCACGACCCGGTTGCCGGCCACCACTTGTTTGATGGGGATGGGATGGTCCATGCGGTCCGATTCGGGGACGGTTCGGCCGACTACTGCTGCCGGTTCACGGAGACGAGCAGGCTGGTTCAGGAGAGACAATTGGGTCGCCCGGTTTTCCCCAAAGCCATCGGCGAGCTCCACGGCCACTCCGGGATTGCGCGGCTGCTGCTGTTCTGCGCCCGCGGTCTCTTCGGCATTGTTGACCCTTCTCACGGGACCGGCGTGGCGAACGCCGGGTTGGTCTATTTTGGCGGAAGATTGCTCGCGATGTCGGAGGATGATTTGCCGTACGAGGTCAGGGTCCTCCCCTCCGGCGATCTGGAAACCGTCGGCCGGTTCGATTTCGACGGGCAGTTGGCCAGCACGATGATCGCCCACCCGAAGATCGACCCGGTCACCGGGGACATGTTCGCGCTGAGCTACGATGTCGTGAAGAAGCCGTACCTCAAGTACTTCCGATTCTCGGCGGCGGAGGGGGCAAAAAATCCCCAAATTGAAAAATCCCCTGATGTTGAAATTGAGCTGGAACAGCCGACGATGATGCACGATTTCGCCATAACGGAGAACTTCGTGGTGATCCCCGACCAGCAGGTGGTTTTCAGGCTGCAGGAGATGATCCGCGGCGGGTCGCCGGTGATGTACGACAAGGAGAAAGTGTCCCGATTCGGGATTCTGGACAAGAATGCCGCCGACGGGAAATCGATTCGATGGATCGAAGCTCCCGATTGCTTCTGCTTCCACCTCTGGAACGCGTGGGAGGAGCCGGAGACCGACGAGGTCGTCGTGATCGGCTCCTGCATGACCCCGCCGGACTCCATTTTCAACGAGAGCGACGAGCAATTGACCAGCGTCCTCTCCGAAATCCGCCTCAATTTGACCACCGGGAAATCCACCCGCCGCCCTATCATCTCCGAGCAGGTGAATTTGGAGGCAGGGATGGTGAATCGGAACTTGCTGGGGAGGAAGACCCAATTCGCTTACCTGGCTCTCGCCGAGCCGTGGCCGAAAGTTTCCGGCTTTGCCAAAGTCGACCTCTCCACCGGGGAGGTTCAGAAGCATATCTACGGCGAGGGGAAGTACGGCGGCGAGCCTCTGTTTCTTCCCAGGGAGGACAACCTGAAGTCTGAGGACGACGGCTACATACTTGCCTTCGTCCACAACGAGAAGGAGTGGAAATCTGAGCTGCAGATCATCAACGCCATGAATTTGAAGGTGGAAGCCGTCGTCCAGCTCCCTTCTCGGGTTCCATACGGCTTCCACGGCACTTTCATAAGCGCCAGCGATTTGGCAAACCAGGTTACCGCCGTCTGAATTTACTGACTCGCGGTAAATGTTTCTATTACTTCCATTAGGTGAATCGTTTGGGGTTGTAAGACAAGACAGGAGGAGATTTACCAGTGGGATGTGTACTATCGTCCCCGGAAATCTCCTTTTTTTCCAGAAAATTTACTTTTGCTGTAGGAAGGTAAATACGAGGACCATACACTCTGTTTTTTGTGGGTTCTCTGTTTTTTCTTTTTACAAGAGGGGAGGGCCAAGCTTGAAGCTGTTTCTTCATTAGGGTTAGAAGAACATGGAGCTCAGCTGGTCTCTCTCTGCTTATTCTTTCACTTTTGTTTGTTCTTTTACCACAGGTTGTAACTCTGTAGCAGCCAGCCAGTTTCGTTACTGAGCTTTGTGCTGTGGGTTGTATGTATTATGAGTGATTGCTCTGTTTTTGTCACTCTGCTTTTTCCACTTGTAAATTTGTACCTGTCCCTATACATACATAAATAAATGAAAAAGAAGTCTTCTGTTTTCTAATTCATGTTTCGATTGGTCGAGAAATTTGAGTTGTTGGTAGGAGGTTCAAATATCGGTATTACATTATTTATTGACATATTTCCCACAAATGAAAACCAATTCACAGATTTGAAGTATGCACAAACTCTCCATAATTTTTTTCTTAATGGAGATGATTAGTCCACGAGAGCTACTAATTAAAAACCCTGATAGCATATTGAAAATTGATGCATTCTAATAATTCGAACTATTGAGAATAGTAACTCTATCGGTACTTAGTTTATTTTCGTCGTGTGATTAAGTTTGAATCCTTTCTATTATGTCTTCCCTGTAGCCGCGTACAAAAACATCACACTCAAAATCTTTCTTTAAGAATACTCATCACGTGGTGCTTTTAAACTTGAATAGTGCGTCTTTTCTACCTGATTAGGTAGCTCAACCGTCAAGCTAAATAAATCGACGAATAAAAGTATAGAGCGTTATTGTTTTTATCCACGTATCTGGCTCAGCTTTTGCTTGTACTCTAGTTATGATTATGAATGAATCCACACTCTCACTAAACAAAGGAAAAGAAACCACACAAACCTAAACAATTGTACATCATGTATTACTTTATGTAATTAACGACAATCAGTGATAGAGATCATGCGATTGATTATATATAATCCTCTGTTCTTTAATCAATCATGGTGGCAGCCGAACTCATATTGGTCCATTATATTTCTCTACCTACAAATAAACTAGTACTAGTATCGCTATCCAAAAGGCTTCTCCAATCTTCGGCTATAGCAAGGATAAGAAAGTTCCTTTCTCCATTGCATTTTTTTTATAGAGAGAAGAAGAACACAAAGGTCCTACGTGAAAAAGCAGCAAGCACCCATTTCCGTTCTTAAACAAAGGGGTCGATTTCGGCTGATAACTACCAGAATTTGGTGAAATGGACGCTGGTGGGGGTTGGATTTTGCCCATTTCCTTCCTTCCCGATATGCATAGGTCACCGGTGTATTATTATACTGTCTTGAAAATTGTTTGATGGGCGCTGGCGGTCTGTTACTGGCCGGGTGATGACCCAGACAGGGTTCTAAAAAAAGATTCATGTCTCTGCCAATCACAGAAACAAACAAACAACCACAACGGGAAATCTGACCACTCCAACACACTCCCCCCTGTTCACTCTTTCCACGTGTCCCCAGATATTTCTTGATGTTTTTTCTCTTTGAAAATTTGGGGGTAAAGAACCACAACCTTTTCGTTGAGGCATGTTCATCGCTCGTTGGGTTTAGTTCTTCGAAGTTAATCGGAACTTCTAGCAGGTCGAGATGCTATGTGCTTGACGGTTGATCTTGCTCAGATTGTGTGGAGTGGTCGTTTGAAGAGATTCTAATGTGATTATTCGTCAATTTTAGCAAGGATTGTTGACGAATGCAGTAGGTGGTCACGTTCCCTATGCTGACCTATCCACTGATTGTCCAAAATCTGAATAAATTTGATTCATATCATAACCACAATCAATGAGCTGGGTTGGGTAAATCTTACTCAGATATATTGGACTTAATTGTTCAGTTTTATTTTTCTTGGACTGTTTTGTATTTTGCCCATGTACCCGTGAGCATAGTCGAAGGGTATATAGGGCTGGCGGACATCTCTCTCAAACCCTAAGAGAGTTTTCTGCAGCTGTTCATCATATCATAGTGGAACTTCATCATGAGAGCTACGCTCTCCGTGGATTAGTCACGGGTTTCCGGGGATACCACGTAAACCTCGTGTGTTCTTTATTTTCCGCATTCATCTATTTTACATGGTATCAGAGCAAGACGATTCAGTTCTCTTTGCTTAATCATCTCGCATCATGACTGGGAAAGAGGAGACTAGCGGCGGCAAGACAGGTGAGCCCGTTGGCGACGAAGTCATTCCGATCAGCTCTCCCCTCTATCTACATCCTTCGGAGAATCCTGCTCAGCTATTTGGCAGTGATTTGCTTACCGATCTGAATTATGGTGAGTGGGTCAATGACCTCACCGAAACCCTAGTGGCCAAGAACAAGATGGCGTTCGTCGATGGGTCCATGCCGCGTCATAAGGCTGGTACTCCTCGCCGCCAGGAGGCTTGGGACAGGTGTGATGCCACCGTCAAAGGCTGGCTGAAGACGGCGATGACGCGTGAGGTCCGAAACAGTGTGCGTATGGCTACCACAGCGCGCGCCATTTGGGTTGATTTGCAGAAGCGGTTCAGCAAAGGGTCAGCGCAGCGGGCGTATGAGCTCCGCCGTCTGATAAGCTCCTTGCGCCAAGAAAAGCTTTCGGTATCGGCCTTTTACACTAAACTGCGTTCCTATTGGGACGAGATGGATGCTGTTGGTGGGGCTCCTCGCTGTGTTTGTGCGGGCTGCACTTGTGGTGGTTGCAGCTGCGACTTACCCGCACTCCAGCAGGCGCAGCAGGATAAGGAGCGCCTCTTTGAGTTCTTGCTCGGCCTGGATGATGGTTATGCTGTTGTTCGTTCCCAAATTCTCAGCACTAAGCCTATTCCATCACTCAATGAGGCCTATCAAATTATCTCCTCCGAAGAACAGCATCGGTTGATTACCAATGGGCGCCGACCTTCAGTGGATACCGCTGCCTTTCAAGCTCAGGCTGACAAGGAAATAAAGGAGGCTCGCGATAAACCACGTTGCTCTCATTGCAATAAGTTGGGACATACGCGGGACACCTGCTATCGCCTCATCGGATTTCCTCCTGGGCATCCACGATCGAAGTCTAGCGATGATCGTCCACCGGCTGTTCCACGTCGACCCAAGGCTGCACACGTAGAGCCCGACCCTGCTGGTAATAGCCCCATTCCAGGTTTAACTGCGGCCCAGTTCGCGCAGCTCAGGCAGTTTTTGTCAACCTCCTCTCCTGAGACTCCTGCTGACTCGACTGCGCACATGGCGGGTAATGCTCCTAATCTTTATGAATGGTTAATCGATTCTGGTTGCAATGAACACATTGTTCGAGATGCACGTTGGTTGAATTCAGTTGATATTGCGCCTGGCTCGTCTAAGGTTCAGATTCCCGATGGAACAGGGATACCGGTTCATGGCATTGGTTCTGTGCAGTTGTCTGATTCACTTAGCTTGAGTCGTGTTTTGCATGTGCCTGACTTCAAATGTAATCTGCTTTCGGTGAGTCGTTTGACACGGGATCACAATGTCGCAGTGATATTTATTCATGACTTCTGCGTTATTCAGGCCTTACCTTCCAAGATGCTGATTGGATTCGGTAGGCTGTGCGATGGTCTTTATTACTTCAGCCGATTGTCTGACGGGACTTCACCCCAGGCGTGTAAAGCAGCTCACGGCGTGGATGCTGCAGACCTCTGGCACACCCGACTCGGGCATCCTTCTACAGACAGGCTGATTTCATTACAGAATTTCTTGGGTTGTAATTTGGATTCTCGGTCTCCTGCACATTGTGACTCCTGTTTGCGTGCTAAACAGACCCGCACTCCTTTTCCCCGTAGTTCCATCAAAACTACTTCCTGTTTTGAACTTCTTCATGTTGATATTTGGGGGCCTTATCAAACTCCTGCTTTGGATGGCTCTCGGTTCTTCTTAACTATAGTTGACGATTACAGTCGCTCTACTTGGGTTTACCTCATGAAATTCAAGTCTGATACCGAGCGTTATCTCAAGATGCATTGCGAACTGGCCCAGACACAGTATGGCTGCTCGGTTCATCGCATCCAATCTGACAATGGTGTCGAGTTTCAGACTCATTCTTTGCGTTCTTACTATGAGGAGAAGGGGATCATTTTGCAGACTTCTTGCACCGATACTCCACATCAAAACGGTGTTGTGGAACGCAAACATCGGCATCTTTTGGACACGGCACGGGCACTTTTGTTCCATGCAGGGCTCCCGGTTCGGTTTTGGGGGGATTGTGTGGTCACTGCTGCTTACTTAATCAACCGTCTTCCTACGCCGGTGCTTTCCATGAAAACCCCTTTTGAGCTCCTCCTGCGTCGGCCGCCCACTTATTCTCACTTGCGCAGCTTTGGATGCCTTGTGTACACTAAGGATACACACCATGCTCTCGACAAGTTCGCGGCGAGGGGGAGGGCTGGCATCTTCATTGGCTACCCCGGCAACCAGAAGGGCTATCGAGTTTTTGATCTCCAAGCCCGCAAGGTTATCGTTTCACGTGATGTTCATTTCATGGAGCATTCTTTTCCTTTCCTCGAGCAGCCATCCCCATCCTCGTCGCGGTTCCATGCTCCCTATCGCACTCACGTGCATGAGCTCGCCATGCACCCGGCTCGACGTGATCCTGGAGAGGGGGAGCTTTTCCCTGCCGATGATGATACACTCGATCAGGTCAGCCGCTGGGCTTCTTCCAACGAGCAGGTCGTGGCGGCCGATAATGATACTTCTCCTGGTGCACCCTCCCCTGATGCGGTTGAGGATGATCCGGCCTCACATTCCGATGGCACCCAGTCCCCGCCGCTGACCGATGGAGATGGTGCCGCATCTGGAGACGATGTGGACGTGCCAGACTTATCTCCTCAGGCGCCCGCTCTTCCGCGCCGTAATCCTGACCGCGAGCGCCGTCCTCCGCGTCGTCTCGATTCCTATGAGGTAGAGTTGCCTTGTACCTCTTCCCATACTGTTCAGTTTCCTATGTCTCGATATGTGGATTATTCTCGCTTTTCTGCTAATCACTGTGCTTTCTTGGCTGCCATGACTGCTCTCCTGGAGCCTCGTACCTTCCACCAAGCTGCACAGCAACAACAGTGGCGAGAGGCCATGCAACGAGAGATTGCAGCGCTCGAAGCAAATGGTACTTGGACACTCGAGCTTCTGCCCCCTGGGAAACATGCTATTGATTCCGAGTGGGTCTACAAGATTAAATACAAGCCTGACGGGACGGTTGAACGCTATAAGGCACGCCTTGTGGCAAAAGGCTTCACTCAACTCGAGGGCATTGATTTTCATGACACTTTCGCGCCTGTAGCGAAGTTGGTCACTGTTCGAGTTCTGCTTTCTGTTGCCGCGCATAAGGGTTGGCCTCTACATTAGCTCGACGTCAATAACGCTTTCCTTCATGGTGATTTGGAGGAGGAAGTCTACATGAAAGTCCCGCAGGGCTTTGCTAAACCTGGAGATCAGCGAGTCTGCCGCCTGCGTAAGTCATTATATGGTCTGCGTCAGGCCTCCCGCAATTGGTACACCAAGTTCACCGATGCACTCTTGGAGTTTGGGTTCACTGTCTCCCGTGCCGATCACTCCATGTTTACTTACCAGGCCCCGGGCGTCTTTGTGGTGGCCTTAATATATGTCGATGACGTTGTTCTGACAGGGGACAGTGAGGACTGCATTTCCCGAGTTAAGACTTTTCTACATGATCGGTTCAGCATCAAGGATTTGGGGCCTCTCAAATACTTCTTGGGCATTGAGGTTGCACGGTCACCGGAAGGCATCTTTCTCTGTAAGCGAAAGTACACCTTGGACATCCTGGCTGACTCTGGCCTTAGTGCAGCTCGACCTAGTGGGTTCCCGATGGAACAGAATCATACTCTTACTCGGCCCACTGATGATCGGGCCGACGATGTGAGCTCTTATCGGCGCCTTGTTGGTCGCTTACTCTATCTCACCATCACTCGTCCCGACATCGCTTATGCTGTCAACATCCTCAGCCAGTTTGTGCACGCCCCTAGTCCGGCGCATGTCGAAGCAGCTCATCGTGTCTTACGCTACCTCAAGGCAGCCCCGGGACAGGGTCTTTTGTTGCCCTCTACTGGGCCCTTGGAGCTGACAGCCTATTGTGATGCTGACTGGGCTGGCTGTCAATCGACTCGCCGCTCCATGACAGGCTACGTGATTCAGCTCGGTGGAGCTCCTATCTCTTGGCGGGCTAAAAAGCAGAAGGTGGTCTCTCGTTCTTCAGCGGAGGCAGAATATCGTGCTATGGCCAACGCTACCAGTGAAGTTTTATGGCTTCACTTTCTCCTGGGCGAGCTTGGCGTGCCTCAATCCTCTCCCACCGTATTATATGGTGACAACCAGGCAGCTTTGCATATTGCTGCCAACCCGGTGTTTCATGAGCGGACCAAGCACGTGGAGATGGACTGTTACTTCGTTCGTGAGCGCGTTCTCTCAGCGGAAATTCAACCCCGTAAGATCCATACCAGCTCCCAGTTGGCGGACATCTTCACTAAGGCCTTGGGCACCGACCAGTTTCATGCTCTTTTATCCAAGCTTGGCGTTTGTGACCTTCACGCTCCAGCTTGAGGGGGAGTATTGGACTTAATTGTTCAGTTTTATTTTTCTTGGACTGTTTTGTATTTTGCCCATGTACCCGTGAGCATAGTCGAAGGGTATATAGGGCTGGCGGACATCTCTCTCAAACCCTAAGAGAGTTTTCTGCAGCTGCTCATCATATCATAGTGGAACTTCATCATGAGAGCTACGCTCTCCGTGGATTAGTCCCGGGTTTCCGGGGATACCACGTAAACCTCGTTTGAAGAGATTCTAATGTGATTATTCGTCAATTTTAGCAAGGATTGTTGACGAATGCAGTAGGTGGTCACGTTCCCTATGCTGACCTATCCACTGATTGTCCAAAATCTGAATAAATTTGATTCATATCATAACCACAATCAATGAGCTGGGTTGGGTAAATCTTACTCAGATATGGCTAATTGTCGCGAGAGACCCACCGAAATCGGTATTGCCAGGTTAGGTTGAGACCCCCACCAATCAAGTAGCTTTCTTAAACCTTATATGTTATATACGTATATGTACATGCCTTATTAAACAATCATCAACTTAGGAATTTCAAGTATATGCGAATGTATCATACGATTGAATTAACTAATATTGAGATCGTCAAGATTTGATCATCAAACTTATTAATGGGATTGTTGCAAATGTATCATACTATCTTTATACTACAACAAAGATTCTTACTAGTGAATGCTCTGTTTTTTTCTAGTTTTTTTTGCTCTGTTTCCATATTTCACTCTGTTTTGGCTAGTTCTTCATTTCCAAAACTCAATAATACTGTTCCGGAAAACGGGATCCCGTCCCACGTGCGTGAAAGTCTGATGTTTGGTCAAATTTTCCGGTTTTCATAGAAAATATATTCAATCCATATTGTTTATTAGCTACATACACAACCATATAAAGATGCCTAGAAACTTGCTCATAGTTGGTTTCTGGTGATGAAGAAGGGGATGGGCTCGCGGTTTCAGGTTCTTGAGCCACACGTTGGGATCTCTTCTTTGGTCTTCGAGATGTTTGTATGGAGGATCTTATGAGGTAAAGCTTTACTGAACGGGTAATTATCAAGAATGTGTATTAATCTAGAGGGTGATAGTGACAATCGTTTGTGCAAAATCAAAAACTTATTTCATTCATTTAATAAAAAAACGCGGAACTAGTAGTTTTTTTCAATTCTCATGATAATAAATTTACGTTTGTCCTTCCTTCCCTCACGGTACTACATTATCGGTCAACCTGGAATATTTAGCATTGCAAGGAGAACTTTACTAAATCAATACGGGGTTCCACATGCCACATGCTACTCGTGTAAGAGCGTAAGCTAATGATGTTTTAAGCTAATGAACTTTTGACATCTAAATTATTTCCTAACATCTAACCTGTTGTTGATCATCACTCGCACTTAACACTATAAATGATTGTCGAGGAACTTGGAGCGGTTGAGAAGTAATGTAGAAACAGCTTATAGCCGCAGCAGTGTTGACAGGTACATCTAATGACTTGGATTTTCATCGAAGTGCTATGGTATAGACTATAAAACTCTAGTGGTAATAGGGAAAACATATCCAATAGAAACAGAGCCAAATGTCAACTACAAGCAACTGATTGCTCATCAGGAAAGAAACAATGTAAACAAAAAGCACCAAAGAGAACAGCAAAAGTGGCATTCCATTATTGTGATTAAAGAGAGGAGGAAATAAAAAGTGAAGACTCCATTAGAGTGGGAACATAGAGATAGCAGGCAGGCAGGCAGGGAAGTTTTTGTTTTGTCACTTGTCAGGAACAGAGATAACTAACAGCAGAATCATGTGCCTCTAAAGCTAATCACAACCGGTTTCTTTGGAACGAGATTTCAGGGATGTGAAACACAAATATATTCGCATCAGTCATCAGTAGTATATTCGCATCAATAAGTGTGGGCTTGACTCTTGAGTGGATGTGGCTTCGAAGAGACTATTATCATCAAATATATTAATATTCGATCTCTTGTTTGGAGACAATTGTACCAAAATGTGTTGGCTAGGTTGTTATTCTTAGGTAGGATAATGACAATGAGACTTAAATCGTACGGATATTTTAGCACCTATATTCGTATTATGTTGGGTTTGGTATTTCAATTCTTAACAAGTGTTAGATAGATCCACATAATTATACCGCACAAAAGAAAGAAGAAAAAAACACACGTCAAATCAATTATTTTGTTCAAGAATCAAAACACATATTTGTTATATAAAATACAGAAGATGGGATATTTAGTGAAATTAAATGGTTTGAGAGATTGGGAGTGAGACTCATGTATAAGACTTGGAAGTATGAAACGCCGTGAAATAAAATTAAGTAATTTGAAAGAATGTTGCGTAGAAGTTAGACACAATTGGTCTTAGCCTCTTAGGTAGGCCGGGTGAGGGAAGGAAGAAGAGGGCCCATGCTCGCCCTGCCCTGAAAACCAGTCCGAGCAGATCAGGTAGGAATAGATAAGATTAGGTTGAAATTACCATTCGTATTCATTAATCATGTCTTGTGAGCAAACTTATGTGCGAAAAAAAAAACACAATTAAGATCGCTTAGCTTTACTCTTTCTTGGATGTACACACTCTCTTTTATTGTTGCCGCACAATCTTGTTTTTTACAACCATCATATAATTAGTCTTCTCGATACCCCTTTGAAGACCCATTTAATGTTCATGGCAAGCTCAAACACAAGTTCAATCCCCATAGTATCTCTCGACATGTTTGATATTTACCAAATAATGCCTCTATCACGAACCCAACCATTGACAAGAGCACATGGTTCCACATGCCTGCTGAAGAACAGTCCCCTCAACCAATCGTATAGGCCTCACTCACTCAATCCCTCAATGTTGTTCTGAGGGCTCCATAATTCCAAGGAAACGAAGTGCAATGCATTATGCATAGCTATATCGATATGGCAGCTTTCACTGTTCCCATAATTAGCAATTCGTTTCATTTCTAGCTTGCTATTGCCCACATCGTGGATCGACGTACACCTCTCTTTATCTCTTCTGCAATATGCCCCATGCATCCATCCATTCATCACAAGTTAGGAAGCCCCAATTGCCAATTGGCCTGCCTGTCTTCTTCTCTCTGTCTCTCGATGGATGGAGTATTATTGCTAGCACTGAACACAGGGAAATGGGCGTCCCTGCTTCATCCACTTTGCCTTACTTGCTACCTTTTCAACGCCTTGTCATAAGGTTCAATTCATCAGCAAGCCCAGTGGGTAATGGATATGAATTATATATTGACAAGAATTTTGTCTTTTACTTGTCATAAGGTTCATATACATACATACATACATACATACATACATACGAGGATACATATAGCTAGAACAACAAATTATACTAGTTTTGTTAAGTCTACTCCAATGGTCTTAATCACAACAAACTATATGATGAATTAAACTAACGATATTAATTAAGAAGAGACAACAATTTTTTTTTGTTTGCATTTTTTAAACTCCTATATATTTTTCTTTCATTGGATATGATATTTAAAGAAAATGAAACATTAGGTCAGTAAGTAAGCATGACCGTAGATAATCACTGATCCCCAAACCTATAGATCGGGCTGGGTCAGTTTAGGGCTAAATCATCTTTTGGTTATGCAAGAGCAAGGTAGGGTTGCAACAACTTAAGATCGTATCATGTTTAGTCCTATCTACAAGGTCAAGAAGAAATTAAATAGGGGCAAAACGAGCCAATTTTATAAATTGACGCTACAAAAACGGGTAAAAATGTGATTTTTACAAGATGCGGGTCTCACCCCATTTCAGCCTTGAAGCATGTATGTCTAGTCTGCATGCATCATTATCAGAAAAGACTAATGAAGTAATTGACTTCTCCCGATACCCTTAGTGATGACTGATGTGGCTTGGACTTGGCATATGAACAACTTGCAGATATTATAATAAGGTAGTCAACTTAGCAAAAGATCGATCGAGCACAAGAGACAACACTTGCATTCACTTGACTTCCCATCCCTAGCTTAGCTATGCCTATATCATATGCTTCTAGTCCGCAACTTGCTTCTCCTTAATAATTTGCATGCATGACCGATCGATGTCGTGCTATCCCCACTTCTGGTCTGCCAACTTATCTCCAACAATTTAGGATATATGTAAATTTTTCCTCGTTGGTAATAATAACGGCTGTGGGGATAAATATTATCCATGTTCAACGTGGGATATTATCCATGTATTGAGGATAATGTACATATTTACCCATTGCTATAATATCTCTTGAATTCTCTTTCATTTGAGATTCGTGTCCATCTTTGGATCTCGATCTTTCAATGATTCAAATTATTGTGATAAATTTGTTTATAGGTAGTAATTGAGAAATAATAACGACATATGCAAAAATTCATTAATAGCTCGCTAGGTAGTTACCTATATGAATAAAGACATGATCTAATGGTATTATCACTGATTTTGAACCTGTAAGTATTAAATTCGAATCTATTAAATAGTACATAACAATAAAAACACATGTATCATCTTTATTAAAAAAAACTAGGTAGATATATATCTGCATATGTGTTTTATGATCAAATGATATTGGTCGACACCACAACGTGTTCTGTTGGATGTCACAATTACCATGGCCCGTGGGAGTTGGATTTTGATTAGTTCAGGCCCAAGTTAGTTGTGGGCTTTTATATTTATTTGGGGCAATCGCTAAACTCATTAAACGTGGGCTGAACTGTGGCATTCATAAAAAACGAAAGGAGAAAGAAACTCGAAACGTTTCCATCTGCAATTCCAATGCTTTCCGTCTCGCATAGAATCCCGCCATGGATGATATCCTTCTGTTCGGCGCCATGATTGCCATAATTATCCTCGTCTTCATCTCCGTTTGCTTCATCACCATCGAAGGCACTCGCCGCCGTCGCAGCAGCAGCTAAACCTAACTCCGACACACTTATTCACTCACTAGTCACTCCATTCAGTCAGCGCCGTTTCTTGGTACTTTCCCCCAATTTCGTTATTCAGATCCCTCCATCTGCCTTTTCTTTTTCTGGTATTGAATTGAATTCACCTGAAACATATCAGGGGTTTTTATCTGCTACTTATATAAGGAGTAGTGAATACCAAAAAAAAAAAAACCCATCAGCCGCCCTGTGGTTTCTCTTCCCCGACTGTGCGCAGTTCGAGTGAGCAAAAACAATGGGGCGGAGATCGCCGCATCTTGCATTAATCGTGGTGGCTATGGTCGCTGCTGGGTTTTGCGCAGATCTGTGTTTCGGTGGTGGACTCTGTACCTCACCGGTGCTTGATCATTCCGACGACCATTACCACCATAATCATCACCATCACCACGACGACGGCGACCAATGTGGCGGCCACCACCACCATCATCATGACCATGGCCATGGTGAGTCAATGGAGTATAAGTTACCGGAGGAGCTGGCGGAGGAGGAGGATATGAAACTCTATGGCCTTGGGAATTACCATGCTCACGATGAACATGATCACCATCACGATTCGCATTCCAAGCTTTCTGGCATAGGTATTCTATTTGTCCAATTCCCGAATCTGTGTGTGTGCAAGAAATCCCTCAGTCATTGCCGCCATTTCTTTTCCTTTTCATATGACTGGGGGTTCATAAGCTTAGCATAGTTGTTATCTGAAGAAGTTGTCTTTCTGATCTCCAATGTGTTCCCTTTAATGCAAAAAGTTTATGCATTCTAATTTGTTTCTCATTCTACCATTGGATGCATAATGACACCTTTCAGTTATTTTCCCAGTCTACAAAGTCGAGTTCTTTAGCAGCGAAGTCCAATTATGCATAAGTTCCCTCCTTTCGAATTGTGGGACTGGCTTTTCATCTTTTATAACTCTGTTTCTTGTCTTTCCTCTTCTCTTATCAGGTCTATGGATCAATGCCTTGGGCTGTTCACTTTTGGTGAGCTTGGCTTCCCTTATTTGCTTGATCATCTTGCCAATCATATTTGGTAAGCGGTTCTGTTCTTGTTGTAAATACATTTTAAGTTACCGGTTAGCAGTTTTTCGATGTTGGCATTGGTTGCTTGCAGATTTTTCACTGCATACTCATGGATAAGTATCTATGTATAGCGCCAATGCTGTTGTATTTCAATTGCGACTCTTAGATTTATCTGTTGTCTGATTGCAGTACAGGGAAAGCCATCCAAGGGAGTTGTTGATTCATTGGCTTTATTTGGGGTCTGATTCTTGTATCACTATCGCTTGTTTGTTTTCATTTCCTGTGGATACCTTATCGTGGTTGCCTAAACTTTTATCTGCATTTTCTTTGGTGTTATTTTTGTTGTTCTTTCTCATCCATATCACAACTTTTTTTCTCAAACTATTTTAAGATTCTGTTGTTCGTAATAGAAGAGAAGTAGGCTACTACAGGATAATGACATGACCAATTTGTAAATTTTCTAGTATTGAACGTTAACAAAATACTAATACGATGTCTTCTAGGAGTCATGTTTTTCTGTTCTGAATTTTCATACAATTTTCTGCTTCCAGGCCGGAGCAATGCTTGGTGATGCTTTTCTTCACCAATTGCCACATGCCTTTGGTATGTTCCCTTGCGATTGTTTACATTATGATGCTTCCATGTAGCTAGTTTGCTTTTGCAATGCCATGATATTATCTTCAACTTGAATTCCTTTTGAGAATTTGGTACAACTTTCCCAGACATAATGATACAAACTGGATATATCCATCTCATAGTTATCAAATGCTCACTTGGTTATGTCTTGGTATTATTTGACTGAGCTTCTGATTGAGGTTACTTGTTTTGTAATTCTATGTATCCTTCTTTCATACCAATGTCAAGTGTCGTCAAATATGCTGACTTTATGGCTTCTGTTTAAAGTTCAAACTTTAAACTTAATGCAATGATGCCAGTACTTAACTATCGGTGCAGCTAGATTAGATATTTCATGTATTTGTACAGTTTCTATTTGTACAATTCCTTTTTATTGATAGCGGTCATTGAAGCAATTTTCTTTATTGCATGTTGGGCTTACATCTTACTTTTGATATGATGGCAACAAATAAGTAATTACCCTTCCATTCATGTTGGCTGTTGCTGAATCTCCTTAAGACCTGGTGGTTTATAATCCACCTTTTAAGAATTATGCAACTATGGGAAAAAACATCATAATATCATTCATGCTATCCATACAATCTCTGACTATAGATAATGTCTTGCACTCGACATGCAATATGGGATGGAGAAGTTCACATCACATGCATAGTGTTGGACACTTTTTTAATTAAGCTCGCAGTTATAACCATCTTGAACTTAATTTGGAGAAAAGAAGAAGCTCATCACTATGACTTATGGATGTTTATGAGATTTTTTTGCCTATTGAGTAATCCATCAAAGAATCATGTGCAGGTGGACAGCAACACTCGCACTCCCATTCACACCACCATGCTGACGATTTGAGCCATGATCATTCGGGGCACGAGCATTTGCATTTGCCTTCAAGTGGGCATTCACATTCTTTGGAGGATCTTTCTGTTGGATTATCCATTTTAGGTAAGCAACAAACGATTCAATGCTAAATATCATGCACAATACCGTAACACATTTTTCACTGGTTAATGTGCATTGGCTCAAAATTATCTTTTGTATTACCATGAATGCAGAGGATCATGCTATTCTTAAAACTGGCTTATAACTTTTGAGTTTACGGTTTTGAAATCACTTGAGAGCGTGGACTTGTGAAATTGTGAAGGTAGGCATAAGTTTAAGAAAAATAAGTTCAAGATATGAGATTAAAAAGAAGAACTCTATATGCTTCAGTAGCTCAAGTATGTCAATATATCCATTCATGATAAACTGAAAGATACAATGTCAAGATTTATGTCTGTCTCACTTTCTCTTCTTTCAGCCTCTATGTTTGTTTTGTTTTTTCCCGCCATTCTTCTTCATCTTTGTCCTGTGCTGCGTGTGAAAACTTTCTTAATGGTGAAAATGTACTTCACTTTCTGCTTTTCCTCTTCTGGTTTTGTTGTTGTAGCGGGCATTGTAGTCTTTCTTCTTGTTGAGAAGCATGTGAGATATGTTGAGGATAACTCTACTGGTGATGTTTGGGGTCATGGTCATCACCACCACCATAAGAGCAGTGAGAAACTGAAGGATGGCAATGATGTTGATGGATCATCTGATGAAATTTCAGATAACATGTCAAATGGGGATAAGTTGAGTCAAAAGGACTCCGTTGTTCAGAGGGTAAGCAAAAGAATTGGCATTTTGAAAATCTTTATTTTCCTTCTTTGCTTTCTCCAGATTTATTATTAGTACTTAAGACCATGGTACCGTATTTCTTATTAATGCAGAGAAAAAGGAAAGGCTGGTTCCAAGGGTGAGAAATCAGATAAAGCCACCTCGAACAAATCTACTACGTCTACTAAACTCTCACAGGGAAAGGAACCTGCTAAGTCACCTTCAAATCTGGTGTTCGGATATCTGAATCTCTTCTCTGATGGTGTTGTAAGTATGTGCTCTTCGCTGATTGATTGAGCTTAGCGTGTTTTAACAAGTGTTTCTACATTTAACAAAAAGAAAATGTACATGTTCTGAGGATAGAAGTTGATTAATTAAAAGAATGTGTTTTCTTTGAGTGTAAAGCAAAGAAACTAAATAATTATCTGCCCTCTGAACCTAATATGCTGTGTTGACTTTGCAGCATAATTTTACTGATGGAATGGCCCTGGGTAACGCCTTTCTGCTTTATGGATCAGTGGGAGGATGGTCTAGGACTCTCTTTTTGCTTGCACATGAGCTCCCTCAAGAGGTTTGACTCAACTCTCAGTCGCAGTGCAGAGAATATTGCTTTTCGAAGCTGTAGTTCGGTGAAAACTTCTACTGGGCTGTTTTCGACTTAATAATAGTTATTCATCTAATGTGGTTCATCATAAGAAAAAGAAGAATGACCTAGTTCTCTCTGTGTTTTAGCAAAAGCAAGTAATTCCCTTGATCATTGCAGTGTCGAAAATTGTAGTCAAGTTTGATTGATGTATGCAGGTGGGTTGACTTTGGAATATTGGTAAGATCAGGTTTTAGCGTGTCTAAAGCTCTTTTCTTCAACTTCCTATCAGCATTGCTCGCTCTCGATGGAACTGCACTGGTGAGTTTCTTAACTCCGACAATTTACTGTCCATGCATTGATGCCAATGAAAATCAAACATTCTGATTTTTTTTTCCCACCAGGCTTTACTTTGGGGAAAAGATCCCGGACAATCGTCTTTGATCGAGGTACACTTCAGCATATGATCATATTTTGCTTCTATCACATTCCTGCTATGTCGCCTGCTTCATCCCAACTTTATTTTCCTTCCAAACAGGGCTTCACGGCAGGAGGGTTCATATACATTTCCGCGGCAGGAGTGCTCGCTGAAATGAACAATGGCAGAACCAGTTTGAAGAGCACGGTGGTTCACACAGTGTCCCTGGTACTGGGCATGTCTGTCGCCCTTTGTATTTCGCTTGTAGAATGAAGAAATAGCCTTGCCTGTTAGATTGCCTGTTGTAGTCTCACCTTTTGTAGAATGAGGAGCTTTCTTCGTTTCTTTCCCGCCTTTGAGCTCTTCAGCTGGAGTGGACTGTTTTGCGACTTTCTATAGCATGCGCGGCTTGTTTTTACCCTCCCTTCTTTAGTACAAGCTCAAGGTGATTGGCTATACTAGTTCAGCTAAATTCGTGTTTTGCAGATAGTGCAACCGAACCCTCAAACGAGACGTGATCATTCCGCTGGGCTTGCATCCCTCAAAACCATGTTCGAGGAAACCGTATCGGAAAAGTCAGCGGTAGAGTATTTTATGACAAAATCGTGATTTAACCGTAGTTCAACTATTGGTACCGTTAAATATTGTATATCTGTTTAGCCTTCAATACTGGTATTTTGTGATTGAACAACCGGTATGGTACGGTTTCAACTTTCATGGACCATGCTCAAAATTGAAAGAACCATACTATAAAATTTAACGACAATAACTCTGAAGTGAGATATCAAAAGAGTTTTACGTGCTACTTTATGATAGGTCAATTAGTGACATAAGTGATCGTCCGAGAAATCTACACTGGTGAAAAATGAGGAGGCCAACTTAATATTATATAGGTTCACTGCTAAAGATTTTATAGGCACTTTATTTAGATGTATACATTGTGTATGGGGGAAGAAACTAGAGTGGCATTTGGGTTAGAATTTGATCAGAAATGAATTAAATGAGAATTCTGAATTTTCCATAAGATAATCAAAAGTGTGAATATTATCATTACTTTGGATGAGACTGCATGTAATCTGAACTATGTGTGCCAAAAATCTAAGGGGAGTTGATGGAAGGTGGCTATAATAACTTTGGTGATAAATCTGTTAAAAGAAATATAAGTTTGGTGAGTAATTTGTTGATCCCCAAAGTTTAGTGATCATTTATTAATAGATCGAAAAAGGAAGAGTCAAAATCGTTGTTATATCCATCTTGCTTCGAACCCTACTCGCCAATTTGGTGATTTTGTTTTGTTCTCCTACAGTCCTACTCCGGGGGTTTATCTAGGGTTTTCGCCTCTGGATATTTGACGTCCGTCGCTCTACGTTAATCGGAGAACTCACCGGAACAACAGCCATTGCCGACGAAATGGGCAAGGTCGAAACAGAGGTAAACGAAGCGAACAATCAGAAGAAGAAGCACAAGGGAAAGCACGACAAGCCGAAGCCATGGGACGACGACCCAAACATCGACCATTGGAAGGTCGAGAAGTTCGACCCTTCGTGGAACGAAAGCGGCATGCTTGAAGTCAGCGAGTTCGCAACCCTCTTTCCTTCATACAGAGGTCTGTTCATTGTTCTCTGCTCATTAGTAAGCATCGATGGTATCTTTATTAAAGCTCATTCATTCATCGTTTGTTCAATCGCCACTTCCAGAAAAGTACATACGGGATGTTTGGCCAATGGTGAAATCCGCCTTGAAAGAACATGGCATTGAAGGCAGGCTCGACCTGGTGAATTTTTCTGATTACTTTACATTTACATTGATTTAAGCTTCGGGTATAATATAATTAGCTGTGAGATTTAACGTGCTCCTGAGGTCATTCTGGCCTGAACTTTCCATCCAAACCAAGTCCAAAGAAGTAATATAGAACCTCAAGTTCCATACAGGTCGTCAAAGTACTGTGCTTTTTATGTGTCTCGTTTCATGACTTGTTCTTCACTGCTGAATCAGGTTGAGGGGTCAATGACTGTCTTAACTACTAGAAAGACGAGGGACCCTTACATAATTATCAAGTCAAGGGATCTTCTTAAGTTGCTATCCAGAGGTGTCCCTGCACCTCAGGTAAGGGGATCAATTCCTTGTCCAGTGTTCCTTGTATTACAATTCTAATTTGGTCAAATAATAGTGCAATGCTAGACTGGCAACTGCAACTTCTCCATGGACGGACATTTCTATTGCTGAAACTTGCACTAGCCGTTAATATGGATTTCTGGTTGCACTCGTGTTTGCTGGTGTGATCAAAGTTCTTGATTCTGTTGATTGTTTCAGGCTATCAAGATTCTCAATGATGAAATGCAATGTGATGTTATCAAGATTGGCGGTATGGTTCATAATAAGGTAAGCCTTGAAGAAAACAGTTCATGTTATTAACTAGATCATATTGCCCTTGCATCATTCACCACCTCACATGCATGTTCAAAACATGTGGTAGGAATTTGGAACATGGTAGACGTTGAAGTTTGTCAATAATTCTGTTCTGTATAAGCTTATCAGTTGCATGAGAACATCAAATTTGTTTCTATATTGCAGGAGCGTTTCGTTAAACGAAGGCAACATCTTGTTGGGGCAAATTCATCTACTTTAAAGGTAATTGAAAATCATTTTCGCTGGAACTCGACTTTTTGTAGATCTAGGGCCGACCAAATACTTGAATGCTAAAGCTAAAGATCACTTTTCTTATCTCCTTTTCCCTGCCTTACCTTCTCTGTTTATATTGTTTGCAGGCTCTTGAAATCTTGACAGGCTGTTATATTCTAGTCCAGGTAGGTGCTTTTCCTTTTCTCATCAAGTTTTTCAACCTGAGTTGCTTGGAACAATGCGATGTTAAATGGACTTCTTTATTGAACAGGGACACACGGTTGCTGCTATGGGTTCATTTAAAGGTTTAAAACAAGTTAGAAAGATTGTAGAGGAATGCATGTTAAACAAGATGCATCCTGTACACCATATAAAGGTATGTATATTTGCCTGTTTCTGTTGCGATTCTTCCTTGCGCATCCTATGTACGGTTTCCTTCGTTAAGAAGTTGTGCTGAAATCTGCCTTGGACTCCTGTGTTACTGTTGCTTGGCAGATTCTGATGATGAAGAAAGAACTTGAAAATAATCCAGCATTGAAGAATGAGAGTTGGGACAGATTTCTTCCCAAGTTCAATAAGTACGATATACCTTTTCTTAGTTAATTTATGTTCAGTACTTCTGTTATTCCTGGGAAGTTACATCTGATGTGGTTGGATAATTTTTCAGGAAGAATGTTCAGCGAAAGAAGCCTAAGAAGAAAGAAAAGAAAGAATATACTCCATTCCCTCCTCCTCAACAACCCAGCAAGTTTGATATTCAACTAGAGACTGGAGAGTACTTCTTGAGTGAACAAAAGAAGACAGCAAAGAAATGGCGAGAGAAACAGGATAAACAAGCTGAAAAATCTGCTGAAAACAAGAGAAAAAGAGAGGAGGCCTTTGTTCCTCCAAAGGTCGGTTCTTTTATCTTTCGTCTTTGATGGGTAACCATCTTTCTGCTTTTGTAAGCTTGATCTTGAATCTGTTTGTTTATTTCAGGAAACTGTGAAGGGAAATACCAGTAAGTCGGAGGAGGAAGACCTGGCCACCATGACCATGTCCATCAAGGTAAGCCTTAAACATAATTCCTTAATGACGACCTAATTTTTCTGTTATTCCTTTGTTTTGTTCTATATACGATATTTTCTTTGACCTGGTTGTGTCCATTTCAAATTTTGCAGCAAAAGGCAAAAGATTTTGTGAAGAAGAAAAGGGACGAGAATGTCAATCCGGAGGATTATATAACAGTAGCATCTAGTGAGCAACCAAAGAAGAAAAAACAGAAGAGCAAATTTTCATTTTTCTGAAAATTTACTCTTGGTTCTCGCGTTTTATTTGTTTGATTGATTTGACCTGAATCCCCTCCCATTCTCTAATATATGTCGCCGGAAATCAAGTCTCACATGCTTGTCGGAAGTGGGTGCTGCCATTTGTTGTATGTTGACATTGGTAGAAATGGGGAACGAAAGTTTGTAAAATTTATTGGACATCCTGTGATTTCCAATCTGGTCTTTTGTGTATTTGAGACAACAGAACACAAAATGATTGGCCATTGCGTCATGGCTAGGATAAAAAGGTCAATGAAGAAATTAAGGTAATTGATCCTGTGCTAAACTCGTAGTTGCCCAGCTTCAATGTTGCTGTAGGTGCTTACTGGTTTGGTTGGATTTGATGTTCACGTTACTCATCTGAGCTTCTTGTGTATTCATTTACTTGTTTTATGTTGCAAGTTGGAAGCTGATGAGAAACGCAGGTACTTATGATAGTTGTGGCACACCCCAGAGATGTATCTCATGGTGCAGCAAATTCTTTGTTGTGCCGAGCGCCTCGGGATGTGCCTAGACATGACTAAGGCAATTCTCTGCTGTCTGATTCCTTCAATGTTGTCGGTACTGATTTTCAATGTAAACATGGTTTTCCTTTGTGAATTTGTTTCTGGACAGCATTTTCAAGCAGAAACTGTCTTTCTTTTTATATGCTCAAGGCTTGGTTTCCGGTTTTTCTCTTTTTCTATTGCGACTATGTGCAGCATGCTGGAATGAAATCATGATTTCGAACCTTTCGATATGCTAGAATTAGCTTCTAATTACTGGAATATCCTGCTGTTTGATTAGAAAGAGTACATTAACTATACTCTCCTGCCACTTGCCAGTATTTTTACTTTGTGGATTCACTTATCACACCTTCCAACAAGAGAGCAGAAGTCCATAGTCAAATTGAAAAATCCCATGTAAAATGATGGGGAAAAAGATGATCTAGTTAACTTTACATAGTGGATGTCTCACTGAGAAAATGTTTCCTGACATAAGGAGCTTCCATACCAATGACCCTCTTGTACTAGGTGTTGGATACCATGACCTCCAAACTCATCGAATAGCATCATCCCCTCATAACTCTGCAGGGAGCCTTCCATCCTTGACCAAACATCGTGATCATTGTAGGCGCCATCATGTGGCATGATCGAAGGACGTGCTTCCATATCTTCGACCCAATCGAGTTCATAATCATCAAGGGATAGGTCGGGATTGTAGTAGCAATCATCATTGTTGTCGGCACTTTCACTTGAAATGTGATCTTCCATGATCATGTCGGGAATACCATCGATCTCTGCTTCAAGAGATTTGATTACATTCCTCAACCTTTCGTCATCGTTATACTCTTCAACTTGTAGCAACGACTCTTCTAATAGTGACATGAGGAGGGCTTGATGATGATGGTTGTTCTCCGAGAGACTGGTTTCGGATGAAAGAGATGCCATTTGGGCAGGACTAGCGGAGATGGAATGGTGGGAAGTGTTGGTTGGGATTAGCTTGGTGGATGATTTGTGATTGTATTGTTCTTTTTAAGTCATTGAACCAGATCTTTATATAGAAGAGGTCTCTCTTAGAAAATGCGATGTTGTAATGCAAGTCTTTATCATTATTGGGAAGCAAGTGAATCATAACTTGGTTTTATGAGTTAGGTGCACGAACGAGGTGCCCATGTGAATGTATCATTGGTACAATAATGAGTTGGTAACACCCAAATTTTCTCGAGGGAACCTAAAAGTGTAGTTTACAACTAATAATGGGTTGGTGCCCGAACTGATCTTGTTATCGAGCAACCATGTGCTTGTGTCATTGATGTGTTTCCTCTGTGTTGGGATGCCTTCAAGATCCAGCATTGGGGAAGATAAAAAGATCTTTGATTGCCTCCCTTTATAGTTTATTCTCTTCTTTAGGGCAAGGCGGGTGGAAGGAGAGTTCCTACTGTATTATGATATCAGAAAAAGTTTTGCTGTTGTGATGCAGAATTCATCCAGAATGATCCAGCATTGGTGCATAAAATCCTGCGTGTGCGTGTTAATACAAAGTCGGGTTAGTCTGCACCTTGTTCTAACTCCTTCCTGTCAGAAAACTCACATGTGCATGTCGAAGTCGCGAGGGAAGAGATCTTTTGGGGGACCTTCGGATCAGAAGCAACTATCTTCCTTTCCAAATAATTAGAGCTTGATTAATAACATAGCAATGACACCATCCATGATAATCAATGACCTGTATTTGTGCTTGTTTTGGCAGATGGATTGATACACACAATCCGACATCGCATGTGCTGCTGCCTGTGCCTACCATAACAACCAACCAAATATTGCTTAACAAGATAATTAGCTAAACCTTTGCCTCAAAGGAAATCCTTAATACTTAAATTGTGGTGTAACGTAGTGATGGAGAGTGGTTACCTGAATTATTTAAGGGCTTAAACGAGATCAATAAGAGATTTGGTAGGATGAATATGCGCCTAATAAGCTTCATGGACTGTGGTGTAATTAAGCATGACATATCCCTAGTTAGTTTGAGGGCATTCAAAAGAAAAACTTTGAACATAAAAAAAAACTTTGTAACTAATAACAAAAGGGTTATACGTATAATATGCCCCTTTTTATTATGTCGTTTTATCAAACATGCCATTCTACTAGTTTTTACATCTAACACGTCCCTCTACTTTGGAAAAATGATCAAACATACCCTTCTGTTAAAATTTTCATCCAAAAAACCTTTAACCACAACCAAACTTTGGTTTGGGCGACACAAATGTATAAAATATTCTTATTAATTTCACTTTAAAATTTTTTTTGTTTATTTTTTATTGCCAAATAATCTAATAATTTCACTTCAACGACACCCAGAAAAATAAAACAGGGGACAAAAGTGACATTTCTCCTCCAATTTGTCAATGTCGGGTTCTCTAGATCACGGTTCAACCATGATTGACGATTTTTTCAATGAAAATTTTAACACAAGGGCATGTTTGATAATTTTTGCAAAGTATAGAGGCATGCTTCATGTAAAAAATAGTATAGGTGCATGTTTGATAAAACACCATAGAAGAGTGGCATTTATACCTATAACTCAATAGCAAAAACTAGATCTGAGTTTATTTACTTTGTCTTAATTTGTCGGGTACAACTTGCAGTAAGGGTTCCCAAGTTATGGTCGAATGATGGTATTGTGGTGATGAAATTACAGTTCAATCGATAGTTATTTGTGTAATATCATTGTGTTTCCCTGTGAGAAACTTGCGTTGAAAATAAATTGATTGCACCTTTGACTTCTTTGGACAACGATCACTAAACACGGTTCACACCTCTTCAAACACAGTTCGAACGAGGGTGTTCGATGTTTACATGACTCTCGAGACAGATCTACATTAAGTTACTCCTACTCCTATGGAGGTTCTGAGAGAGCTCCAGATCTACGACTATTGATAAAAATTTGCAGGGGAAAGATAAGATTGATAAAACTTGACAAGTGGTGTCGAGTGGTAATTTTTGCGGGGGCTCTCCTCTGTCGACTCCTCCTCCTATTTATAGGCCTTGAGATGATAACCGCCGTAGAAACTGTCATAGAGTAACTTCCAAAAAGAACTGCTCCCTGCTTCCTCGGAACATGGCTGCCGTGTCCTTTGAACGTGGGATGAGTAGCCGTTACTTCTCAACTGCCTAGGTACCTCTCTTGAAACCGTCGTAGGATCTTGTAGCTTGCCGCATATATCACGGTCATGGACTTCCTTACTCATGTCCATGGCCCTCTTGGGACTTAGTCTCTAGTGATATAATATTTCATCCCCATGTCATTCTCCTTCGTGTCCATGGCTCCTCTTGTGAGCCGGCATGGCCCCTCAGAATTATCATATGGCATGGCCTCTTGTTTGCACCCATGGACCTCTCAATCATGGACATGGCCTCCCTCATGAAGCAGCAAGTCCTTCCCTATACTTAGAATATTTTCGGTTATTTGATTTAGATCATGAGGCGGCATTGCCTCTTTATTCGCGACCATGGACTTCTTATTCATGTCTGTGGCCTCTTCCTTTGGAAGGCATTGGCCTCCTCATACTTAGTATTTTTCACGCGCCCAGGTCCTCTTGTCTCGTGTCCATGGCTGTCACATATGACACGGCCATGGACATCTTAATCATCCACATGGCCCTATATTTTCATACTTAGAATATTTTTCACATACCGGGCCTTCCTTGAGATAGCATGTGCTTCTTTATTCTAGATGGACGTGTTCTTCTTTGATGAGGCGGCATGGCCTCTTCCGGACTTAGTTAAATTTTCACTCCTTCGGTCTTATTGGTGAGGCGGCATGGCCTCTTCGTTGAGTCGGCATGGCCTCTAGATCTCATACGGATGCGACTTTGTTTGATGAGGCGGCATGTCCCTCTTTAGACTTAGTGGCTTGGGCTTAAAATCAATATCCATAAGGCCCAACTGAAACAACATTAATTGTTATAATGGGGGTGGCCTTATAAACTCATTAATTATCTTGTAACTCACCAATGTTGTACAAGACAAATTTTATGGTGTAAACACATTGTTAAATCAAAATAAATAAAATTTTATATATTCAACCGATATTATAAATCGGTATAATAATATCATTCGAAAATGTTTGTTATTCCTTGGGTAGCTAGTTTAACAACATAAAACTAGTCAATATAGATTATTTCACAAATTTTGAATTGAACACCGCTCTGGATTATTTAACCGATTCGATACCGCAAGATTATCCATGCACCCAACTCGATAATAGACAATCAATTCAGCCTAACCAAGTGATCATACCAAGATAATCAAAAGTAAAACCAGCATCTTCAAACCAAAAAGTCCGGTGTCTGTTTGAAGCAAAGACAAAGAAAGCCCCGTGGCCGTGGGTAACTTGTTTTAAGTAATAATAGCCACTCTGTTTTCATTTGTTCAGGTCGGCAGCTGCCGCGTCAGCCGGTCGCTGTCCATTCTCGACCAGCACAATGCTTTTGCTTGGCAAGTTCCCACAACAAACAATCATCTTAATTTACGAATCTCTTTCTCCTTAAATCACAATCATCTGAAACAGCATATCCAGCTCCATGGATTATGTTGCAATAACACGACGTGGGATTGATAGCTCAGCTGATTATAGCTATAGCGTGTCATTCTTGTTGTGGCCTACTTGTATAAAACCCAGTTGCCTTCCCATCTGGGAGACTCATCCATTTCTACTGGGGAAACAACTTCATAATCATTCAGAAAGTAAGAGGGAAAGGGTAAAGAATTGTCCCAGATCAATGGAAGGAGGCAATGGTCTTGTTCATACCAACGGGGCATCCGAAACAGAGGAGGCTTACTACAGAGAGCTTCTGGTTTCTTTGCTGGAAGAGCCGCCGCAAGTTGATCACCGTTGCCACGGTTACGACAGCCAGAGGCTGCTCTGTTTAATCCAATCTCTGGAAGCAGAGATTAATTCTGCTCCTGTTCAGTCGCCGATGGATTTCGCTACTGGTCAGGAACAGGGTGGTAATTATGGGGGAGAAGAGACACAATTACTCTGCCCACCAGCTGATTTCTCCAATTCAATTTCTTGGAATGACGATCTTATTGGTTTCAGTTCGGGTTCAATCCTCGGCCTCGGATATGAGATTGATCATCGTGAGTGGAATACTTATACATTTGAGCCACGGTTCGAATCCTGGATTCAACAACTTCCACTCTAAAATGAAAATAAGTTTAACGTTTTGATTCATTGGTTCACTACTGGGAGTTCACTCGGGAAGTGATCACATATATATGATTACTTTTCAAGGAGAAACTTATCTTATTATTCTCAAACTTGATGGAATTTAGGTTGTCATGAAGCTATTTATTTATTTATTTATTTATTTATTTATTGAAATCGAGTTAATTATCTCGATTCTTTGTTCTCCGGCACTTATGTTTACATTCTATTGATTGCGATCAAGCTTTCTTACTGGTAATGCAACTTATGAACATACACTTAATTAGTATGCTCTTTAAGAGCTAATGCTGTCATTCCACACAATGACAGTCACTTGATGGATGGAGATGACTGATGAGTATTGAGAGAATGATAAGACAAATATGATTTGATGAGTTATTTATATTTACGAGAAATTTTTTTTATATCGTTACAACTATAATCAGCAATAGAAAAAAAGTTAGAATCAAATAATTATTACTATGATATCTTTTAATATTGAATCGTGGTTCTCCTGAATTTGGTCAGGACCGAACCGATGCCCACCCCTAGTCCCGCCTTCTCGTCAGGATTTTTGAAGAGGCGAACGTATCTTATATGAAAATTAAAAGTCGTCCCTTCCTTCCATCTCTCTTAGGGATGGCAATCAAACCCATGGCCACGGGTATCCGACCGTCCCCGACCCAGTCAACGCGGGGAATTCCCGCTTTGACTGGGTATGGGTAAAACCCGCAAAAAGTTTGATAGGTATGGGACGGATATGATTTTAGCCTCCCCACCCCATATCCATACACATACCCATACCCGTCCCAACAATTTTTCAAAGAATATGATCCAAATAATAACCACTCCCCAACAATTTTTAGTTGCCCCAAAAGTTGGCTCCATATATTAATGAAGATTCCTGCAGCTGCTCTATGAATCCATAACCTCAGACTAGCTAAGCTCGTTTGAGATGTTCTAGAAGCTAAGTGGGTGCATGTTATGCGGTTTTTGTTTAAGAGTAGTCAATAACACGAGTTGTTAAAAAAGTTTATTTTATTTGATTGTCTTACAATTCACTATACTTTTCTGGGGCTACGGTCCTCCTCTGAATAATTGATCTGAAATCACATTATATGCATTCCTATATTGAGAAACATTGAAAAGTGGGGCATCACCCCTCCTCCATTATCTAGTTCATTTCTTGGAAACTATCGCAAAACCAAAGCTCTCTCTTGATCTTCATGGGCTCTAATATCAAATCAAGAACCACTTTATTGCAATAATCTTAGTTGTTGGGAGAAATTTCGAAATACATATTTTTACACATTTTTTTTATGATCATCGACTATAATACTATGTTAAAGAACCACTTGATTACAATAACTCGAGTTATTTGGAGAAGTTTCGAAATAGATGTTATATCATTTTTATCATCGTTTTTATAAGTTCGACCCATCGTTTCCATTTAGTGAGTTAAGTGTTCTCAGGTTATGCATTGATGGGAAAATGACCATGTTTTGCTGTGAGTGGCCATTTAAATTTGGTACGTATTTTGTTTGCTTGTGCTGAAGGGGCTCTTTAATTGGGACCGGTTACTATAACAACACCCCTTGTGGTTGTTATTGTAACAACATTAGTTTCCAACCAATAGGAAGTTAGGGTTGTGATGACTTTTTATTAGATGAGTTGACCTAGTGTAAAATCAAAGCAGGGGTATAATTGTCATTATGAAAAATATGTTTAAATAATAATAACAAATAAAAAATAACAAATAAAAAAAAATTATTTTCGGCCCAAAATTTTGGTCGCCGGAATTCTGCCACCGGTCGCCGAAAACTGGTTGTCGGTCACCGGAATATGTTTTTTGTCGCCGGAATATGCTATTTTATCATCGGAATATGCCACCGTCGCCGGAATATGCTCACCGCGGTCGGAATATGCTTACCGGCATCGAAATCTAGTCATCGGGGCCGGAATATGCATATCGGCGTCAGAATCTACTGACCGACGGTCACCGGAGTTCGGTCAACGAACTTCGTTGACTGGTCAACTGTCTTCGTTGAACGGTCAATGGTCAACGACCACCGGATGTATGGTCTACATTGTGAGATTTATGGTTTGGTTTCTTATATTTTCGTATGCCTTTTGTGGTTTGCTTTATCGTGTTTGTGGTTTGCATTAAGAAGTTTCTGGTTTGCTTTATCGTGTTTGTGGTTTGCATTGAGAAGTTTCTGGTTTGCTTTGAAAAATTTTGTGGTTTGCATTGAGGGGTTTCTGGTTTGTTTTAATATATTTGTGATCTGCATTAGGACGTTTATGGTTTGCTTTTTTGTGGTTTGATTTACTGTGTTTGTGGTTTGCATTAGGAGGTTTCTGGTGTGCTTCGCAAATGTTGTGGTTTGCTTTGTGAGGTTTGTGCTTTGTTTTAGGAGATTTGTGGTATGCATTCGGAGGTTTCTGGTTTGCATTAAGAAGTTTATGGTGTGCTTTCGAAAATTTTATGGTTTGATTTGTGGGGTTTCTGGTTTGTTTTAATATATTTGTGGTATGCATTAGGAGGTTTGTGGTTTGCTTTATCGTGTTTGTAGTTTGTATTATGAGGTTTCTGGTGTGCTTTCGGAATATTTATGGTATGCTTTGTGGGGTTTTTGGTTTGTTTTAGGGGGTTTGTAGTATGGATTGGGAGGTTTCTGGTACGCTTTTTGTGGATTGTTTTACCGTGTTTGTGATCTGCATTAGGAGGTTTCTGTTGTGTTTTAGAAATAGTTGTGGTTTGCTTTATGAGTTTCTCGATCCGCATTAGGAGGTTTCTGGTATGTTTTTTTGGTTTGGTTTATCGTAATTGTGATATGTATTAGTAGGTTTCTAATATCACATACATTAATTGCGGATACATAAGGGAAAATGCAGAAGAAAGGAAGTAGCATCATAGTTGGTATATGCATTGGAGCATTTCCCCATCTAATTTCCCCTGCATTCTTCAGTGAAAAATGCAGAAGAAAACTCTTTACATTTACTTCGGTTCATGACCACAACATGCTCTATACAAAATACAAAAGTTAAGCATGGTTATCATCTAATACCCTGCATTCCTAAGTCAATACTACTTCGATGGCACCCGCCTTTATGCACACAAACAAGTACAAAATATGAAGATTGGGGCCTGCTGACAAGACCAAAAGCAGCAAAATACATCATCCAGTTGCTCTCCTCCTAAGATCATGTTGTGATAAGGCTTCTGGGCGTTGATTGAGAGCGGCGGCGGCGGACGCCATCGTCGTTGTTGGTCGAGCTGAGTTCGATTAACAATCGATGAAGCAACTCTCTGTCGAATCTAGTCCTAACCTGAAGAATGGAGCCCTATTCACCCAAACACCGTCAAAGACAATCTCCATAGACGACGAGGAAGATGACGCTTTCCAGATCGAGGTGTATTTGGTTTGTGAGAAGTAAAGGGAAGATGGGACTTGTCAGAGCAGATCCACCGCGACCACAACCGGATAAAAAGTGAAGGAATGAGAACTCTCCATTCGGAACTTCACGTTCCAGGAGAAACACTCCCAAAAATCCCGCGCGCCGCCGTTATGAAATCCGAAACTACCTTCCGGCTTAGGTCACGGAGAAATCTTCTTCGATTCCCTCACCACCAGATCTGAAATCCAGATCCAGAAGTTGGAGCGGCAGTCATGGAGGGCCGAGGATATGCGGCCATCGGACGTGTAATCGGGCAGGCTGGAGACGTTGACGACGAAGCCGCGACGGTGCTCAACACTATGATTCGAGCGCCGACCACCACTGCTCTCTATGTCACCATCTTGAATTGTTATCGATGAAGAACAACGGCAACAGAAAAACGAGGCGGAGGGGAGACACAAGTTCTGGCAGAGAGCTCCGGCCAGCGAAGGATGAAGTGAACGCAATGAATTCGATTTGGCAGTATCGCCGCCTCTGTTGCGATTGTTGTGAAGAAGAGAGAGCTCCGACGGAGCAGAGTTGTTTGAGGAAGCAAAGAGTTGGGGAACAAAGTTTAATTCGTTGCTTTTTTATTTTAATTCAATTTTTAATTTTCTGATATTTGTCAATTTATCCTTTTACCCTGTTGTTACTATAACAACAATTTTAGTGTTGTTATACTATCTCGATCCTCTTTAATTACCTTTGTGCAGTAGCTGTAACGAAAAAAAAAAAACTGTGCTAATTAAGCGAAAATTCGGCAAAACAAGTTCTAATTAAGTCGTCTCTCTTCTATCTGCTTCAGTTCCCAAAATACTTAGGGTTCATGGCTATTTATGATAAGGAAAACCCCCATACTTCGATGGTCAAAAGTACCACTAACTGTTTATTATTAGTTCTTAAATGAAAGACAAGTAAAACATAATACTGAAACAACATTACAAGGTTTTATTTAGGGTGCTTGGTAAGGGATGGGAATGAGATGCAAATCATATTTTTTATGAATCGAGATTCCAAAGACTTCACACATGTCAAGAGCTTGAGATTTCATTTGGTTTGGTAGCGTCCAATTGAAGTAGTAGAGTAAATTTGCTAGTGTAAGATGAACCACAACACTTCCAGATTTTATACCTGGGCACACTCTTCTTCCCGCTCCAAATGGTATGAATTGGAAATTATCGCCCTCGTAGTTGACGGAATTGTTGAGGAATCTTTCCGGTATAAATTTATCCGGTTCATGCCAGTGCGTGGGATCTCGACCGATAGCCCATGCATTGATAAGCACCTTAGTTCCTGCCGGTATTTGGTATCCATTAATCACAATTGTCTCTCGGCTTTCTCTAGGAACCAACAGAGGAGCAGGTGGATGCAATCTGAAGGTTTCTTTGACGATCGATTTCAGATAGGGTAGTTCATCGAGACTTGCTTCATCTACAACTTTACCTTTTCCGTCAAACACCCGCCTGACTTCTTTTTGTGCCTTTTCCATTTCTTGGGGATTCTTCATCAGTTCGGACATTGCCCATTCTACGGTAACGGCTGAAGTGTCGATCGCACCAAAAAATATATCCTGCATACATGCACACACACGAGCACTAAAGTCTAATTTTATACATTGATGATGAGTAGGTAGTATAATTGTTAATTTGGTGATTCTGGTATACAGATCGACTTACCATGATGACGGCTTTAATCTCGACGTGGGTGAGAGGGAAGCCAAGGACGACCTGGTCGCCATGAGTGAAACTCAAGAGCACGTCCATCAGATCTCGACCATCATCATGATCATCCAGCAGTAGCGCCGTTTCCGATCCTGATCTTCCTCCTCTGGATACATGCTCATCTATTATGGCTTGGAGGATGACGTCAGCTTCACGGTGAAGCTTCTTCAGCCGTCGCTCGGTTCCGGTGATTGTACGGAGGAGCCAACTGGAGGGGAACACGTCCCCGACGGCGAACTCCCCGAGGGCCTTCATGATCCGACGCTGGACCGATAAAAAGGACTCCTCCAGATCCTGGATCTTCCCGAACGTGGCCCTGGACGTGATGGTACAGCTGAGCGAGCCCAGCAACCGGCCCAAATTCACTCCTTCTCCGGGCCGAGAGCCCATCATCTTCAATCCCATCACGAGCTTGCCGACCTCCTCTTCCCTGATGGGCCGCAGCGAGCTCACGCGCTTGGCGCTGAGAAGCTCCAGGGAGCAGATCTTGCGCATCTGGCGCCAGTGCTCCCCGTAGGGCGCAAACGCGATGTCCCTGGCGTTGTAGAAAATGATGGTTGCGGATGGGAGCGTGGGCCTGGTGGCGAAGTTGCGGTCGTGCGTTTTCAGGAACGCTCGGGCGAGTTCCGGAGACGAGACGACAACGTTCGAGGTCTCCCCGAGCTGTAGGTGCATCATGTCTGGGCCGTATTGTCGGGCCAAGTCTCGTAGCCGCCGATGGGGTAGGGAGGAGGAGCGGCCTGCGGCGAGCTGGTGCAGATTCCCGATTATGGGCAGCTTCCTTGGGCCTGGAGGGAGACCCAACTTCTTCTCCTTCTTGGTCCTCAGGATTATCTGGGATGCGAGGAGGATTAAGGAGAGCGTGACGAGAACTGGAAGGAGCACGATTACTATTGGACTAGCTTCTGATTCCATTTCAGCGCGCGCGCACAAAAAAAAAAAAAGAAGAAGAAGAAGTAAAAGTACTGCCTTTCTCTAGCTAGTTTTGCAGGATCACTTGATTGAAGAATGGATGGATAGTATGAACACAAGGAGGGAGGGACTTCCGGCCTGGCCTGCCAAGTATATTTAATGTAATATAACCATGTATGTAAAAACATTTGACAACTAATTAATATTCCTAAACGTTAAATAATTGAATATTATTAATCCTATAGTAGTACGTATGCCTTTCCGTCCCAATTCCCAAACCAATCAATATACAGAGTGGCAGCTGGCATGTCTTGTCAAAAAAAAAAATGCCGAATTGCCGATTACGCGGAATCTGTAGAATTCCCCGATTTGGGAGGGTATATGTGATACCTGTTGGATTTGGATAGCTACTTTTTCCCGCGGAGTCCACCAGATTCTTCCTACCCCCTTTTTTTTCCGGCGGAGTCCACCAGATTAATTCTTTCTACCTTTATTGGCGAGAATTACTAGAGACCCTCCTAATTTTCGACATCCGCAATCGTTCTGTTCCTGAACCCTGCCGCAGGCCGCAATTAAGCATTCTACTTGGGCCCAAGCATCCGCAGCCCAACAATTGAGCGTGGTCTCTGGCGTGTTCTCTTCCTAGCCCAACAATAGAAACCAAAACTCTTTTCCTCTTCTCTCTTCTCTTGCTGCAGCCTGCT